CGCTAGACCACCTCATCTTATTTTTATTTAGTGTTCTGTCTGATGACAGGTCCATATGAACAGGATCCTTCGATTCTTTTCTCGGACTGGGACCTGTTCAGTTACGTTCTTGGCAGATGATCCAGAAGTGGTTTGCCGTTGCCTTCTTCTGTGTGTGAATGGAGTAATTGTTGGGATGCCACGGAGAAACCGGGGAAGCCTCCGTGTTGCCTAGACCACGGCCTTGCCCAACACAAGTTATAAATTCGGGCACCGCCGGGAATCGAACCCGAGACCCCAGGATTACAAGGCCAGCGTTCTAACCGTTAGACCACCGTGGCTCCTAGGGAGTCCATTAACGCATGAAAAAGATAAATGAATTATACGGTAATCAGAAATTCATAACATCAAACAGAGAGAACTTTAGACACAATCAATGAACACATCCCCCTCGCCCCCCTCGCAAAAGAAAATAATTGTTTAAACTGGCTGAAGTATCTTGTGATGTGCCCTACACCAAATTCGTAAGACTTGCGATCTCACTTTCAAGAACAACCTCTCCTGACTTGTTTTACTATTCATGGCTTCATATTCATATCTGAGATCCTTTCTGTGTACTAAATTTTTGCATCTTACTGTTACTTTATCAAATTTCAACTTCATTTTGCTATTAATTTTACTCTTAACAATCTCTACTGAACGCGCTCTGTTGTGAAATAGCTATATTACATTAATAACTATTAATATCCACCCACACAGCTTATCTTAATATCATTCATTTTTGTGAAAAGGAAGACAACAAGGTAAGCTGTGTGGACAGATATTAATTATTACTACTGTATATACCTATAACAACTCTAATGATTAACATTTTTATAACATTTAAATCTCACAAGTGTTACAATTAAATTTCTTATAAATCAACGATAATATATTGTGCAAATGCTTGGTGTTTGTATCACATAAATTAAGAAAAATTTTAACTATGAAACATAATTTTGAGGGGAAACCACATTATAAGGAAAATTATATATACTAGGTAAATGTTGAAGAGACAGCATTTATCACTGGAGGGAATGTTGGAGACACTGACGTGAAAATAACAACGCATTACTTTATCAACGCTTTCTCAAAGAAGAGGTGGCAGTACTTCAGTTCCTCTCTTGTCAGTGTCTGTGTCCATTGCTCTAGCTAAGATTCTTCTTTCTTCTATGGCTCTCCGGTCCGTATTCGGTCCATGGCCTCCACAATTCTCCTTTTCCATACGGTCCTATCCTCTCTGTTAGGTCTGTCTGTCCGAGGCTTTGATTGAGGTTTCGAAATATCTTCCTTTTTACGGTGCAAGGTTGTTAGCCTTGCGACCAACCCCCAACCTGGAGGACCAGGGTACCTGTCTTAGTCCGACCTCTCCCCCTCGACCAATCTGGCTAGGGGGGCCCTACCAGTAGCTATGCTACCGCCAGCATAGCTCTTGGGATCACTGAGGTACTCAAGCCCCACCACCACGACAAGGTGGTAAATTTTACATATTCATAATAATAGTCCCTTAGCACTGTCCATGATCAGTATAAAATACTGAAATGATGAAAACTCTCCTGCTCCTGTAATATTGCTTGAGAACGTGACACAGGATATATAAATAACATTAAAATCACTAAATATTTTCAACACAAACCGTAAAGTTACCAACTCATCACAATACTTTGGTCACCACCGTTAATTATCCACAAAAATTATCTTTGTTTCAATGGTAAAATTGCAAACAAATTACTTAAATTCAATAGTCCATGTTAAATCAGACTTCAATGACCACACAGTTATAATCTCATGACCAATTTATTTTCAATCAGAGTGTAAATATGTTTACTGTTATGTACATAACTCATTATGGTAACCTCACATCTGTCAACATCTTCACATTTCACAAACAATGGTCAAGAGGAGTGTTCAATATTTGATGGTATTAGCAGCAACAACAGTATTTTGTGGGAAATAATGCCATATTATTTAATTCACTGAAGCTCCACCTTAAATGCAGAGAGGGATCTGGCGAGAAAATCATCTTAACTATGCAGAAAATTACCACAGTGACTATATATGGTTTTCTTTCTTAAATTCTGTAATTGTTTTAGCTATTATGCACAGTTACTGATAACTACAACACATAGAATAAAATTATAACACTGACAGACCTGAAGACTGCAGTATTGTTCCATTAAGGATAATCTATGTATAAGAAATTATTAATATCAGAGTGGTCCAAACTTTTTTGTTCCCTCAGACCAAGAAAAGTTTTCCTGTTGGACCCAAGGGTAAACAAACCCCTTCTTAAGATTTCTGTCTTCTGGGTTGTTGCGCTGTGTAGTCTGGTCGATGCTAACCAACGTTTCAGAGGTCATCAGGACGATGAATATATTCATCGCCCTGATGACGGAGGCAGTATGGTTAGCTTCGACCAGACTACACAGCGCAACACCCCAGAAGACAGAAATCTTCATACTCACCGCTGTGAAAACCTCAAATCTTACAAACCCCTTCTGGTACTATTTTTAAAAACTAATTGTTGATTTTCATTATTTGTAACACTACATCTTCGGAAATGACAAATTACCAATCACCACAAACCTTCAGTTTCAAATGCACCTGTGTACTGCCCTTTTATGTTTCTATTACATAAAGTGGAAATGTTTAAAAGAAATTCACATTTCTGTGTGCCCATGGAAAAATGCAAGAAGAAAAATGTGTCTTAAGCATACGCTTGGAATTAATAAAAGTCGGTGGATGTAATTTTTTCCACCCACATATTGATACCCCAGAATAGTTGCCTCTTTCTTAAGCAACACTTCATAGATGCTGAGTCTGACATTCCAGGTTTGGAACATCTAAAAAAGATCCACACATACCAATCACATCGCCACCACAAGCTCACCTCTCTCTTAAACTATTCACAGTAACTTCCATATTTTGCTAACAAACTCTGCACCTCTCTTTCTGCAGACTGATCCTAGACAAAAAAGAGAATTCACAATTACACAACGCATTTTTAAACATTCATTCAAATGCTGACTAAATTTCTTGCATAATTTATTCCTTGAAGAGTCATCATATACCAAACTATTCAAGAAATGTTCTCTTGTTATGAAACCCAAGGATTCACCACTGTCAAAAAAAAGTAACTTCACTGTAACATTTCCAGCTGCAGTTCATATTTTGACGATACATTTCCCTAGCGCTCTAAAAACACATTCAAAGTTTTCCCATGAGGTTTAAAAATCAAAACTTTGTGTACTTTTACCAGACGTAATTTTCGTGGCCAGGCAATGGGCTGGGTGACCAGGGTTCAATTTCTGGTGAGGTCAGGGTTATTTCTCTTCTCGACTACATCTAGAACAGTGCTGGGGCCAAGGGAGCCCCATAACCACTGGGTACTAGGGGTAATGTGGCCAGGGCATGAAGCTGACCAGTCCCCTCCAACCAGTGCCAATATTAAGAATTTGTAGAGTTATACATCCACTTCCCATGGCTTTATATGGAGGTACTTTGATGCACAGGGACAAATTTATATCAACATTCTAGATGCACCCATTTGTGCTACATGCCCTGCCCACTAAATGGACTTAGAAATACACATCTGACTCCATCTTGAATCTCAACACATCTTTCTTTAAATGTGTTCAGGAATGTCAAGAGATTTCTTAGTTCCACCCTTAAAAACCCCCATAAAATTAAGTTCAAAGATCTTGGTCACTACGAGCATATTTATCCTATCACAGACAACATTGTTTCAAGCGTATGTCACATTTTGTAACTCCTGTATGCTTACATTGATTTTTATTAATCTGATAAGCAAATAAAAACGTGCAGACTTCCCTAAATAACATAATCATGGGTTATGTTTGCTAATTAGGACTGCCACACTGCAAGTCTAAAGAAAGGTTTATTTCATTAAATATCTCCTGAATAAGTCCTGCGCCGTAGCCGTGCGGTCTGAGGCATCATGCTTCGGACCGGCGATAAGGAATGTGCGCTGGTTCGAGTCTCGGAGGAGAAGAAATTTTCTCATGAGCTTTCAACCAGTGTATGGGACTGATGCCAACCCAGCATCGTGAGGAAATTGGGGAGCTACAATAAGTAGCGTAATCCGGTAGGAAAGCTAGCAATGGCTGGGGGTTCATCGTGCTGACCACATGTCACCCTGTATCTGGTCCCAGGTTTGATTCCAACCACTTCCATCGACACAGAAAAGGCATTCCAGTGGTTTAGAAATTAGTGTTCTAGCCTAATATGCAAATGTTTCTCAGTTAAATGCCAACTATTTGAATTTATGCAGAGGTAGGAAAATTTCCACATGGGGAATCCCCATCCATGTAATTCCCTGGAAAATCACTAAGGTTAAAGGACATATTCACATGTGGAAAATTCCCTGACCATTCACAAACAGTGAGAGCTCAGCAAATTCCCCTACATAACCAGTCAGGGAATTCTTCAGTTTTCATACAGATCAAATTCTGTAAAACCACGACAATTGTTATGTTACACATACACCAGCTAACTTTTAGGTTTCATATTAAGACAGAGACTCAATTATGCCTCATACAAAATCTTCAGGATGAAACATTTATACATAAAATCCAGTACCTCTGACATAACGCCTCCATTACATTATTAGGGAGAAATCACATAGAATAATTAAATTTCTCAATTAATCTGATCGTTGCTACTTATTTATGAAATACTATTTTTATCCATCTAATCACTGCTGATACTGTAAGGGTTAAAAAGGTTAAAAAGATTAAAAAGATTAAAAAGATCTGATAGAATAAACATTAAAAAGTCAGAAAACAAGATACTGGATCACAAGCAATTACCAGAAAACAGGATTAGGGCCAACTTCAGCATGGATATAAAATATACTGCAGATAACAGACAACACCATATTCATATAATAAATCAATCATCAACACCCCAATCCATGTAGCATAATCACACGAATGATATTCTGACTTACATCTGCTGTTAAAACAGTAACCTGCGAAGCCAGATCAAGCCATGGCAAAGCGTCAGTATAGTTGCCTTCACCGATGTGACACTTGGCCAAGAGAAGGCGGTTTTCCTTCCAGGGTGTTGGGCTCAAAGACTCTGCCTTCAGACAATGTTCAATTGCCTCAGAATATGTTGCAGTGGGCAGTTCAGTAAACAGAGCACCTGCCAACTTTCTCTCAACCCATGATAGGTTTGCAACCTACGGTACAGTCAAATCATTTCATAATGAGCATACATTTATCATTAGTCATTGTAAAACTGTATAGTTTCTACCATTCATTATATATCAGGTAGGCCTATACCTAAAATATAATTGATTTATAATAGAAGATATTAAAATCTTAAAACTTTGCATACCGTGTAATGTACGTAGGGCAGTCAAAAAGTTCCCGAAATTGTGGTATAGCACTGTAATGGTAGGACATATGGCAACGCTTACCTAATCACCTTCAAAGTAGGACCCTTGCGCACAAACACACTTGCTTCATCGATCCTGCCATTGTTGGAAGCACCAGCAGAAGGCTTCGTTCGGAATCTTACGAAGGTCGGCCGTCGCATTTGACGCATCGCTGGTTGTGCAGTGGTGGTTGGGTCATGACGGGAATGCTTTTCTCAGCGAGGAATTGCCGCACAGAGGACATCAAATCGAATACAACGGCCGAACTCCGGAAGATTCCAAAGAACACAAAATAAACAAAAAAACAAACTATTAACACTATAAATAGACAATAGATATCACAGGTTTTCACAATGTAATTTACTTCACTTTCCCTCAATACAAAAATCACTCATCAATATAAGTAAATGTTTGAAAAACAGGCCACATTACTATTTACAATTTCCGTAGTGCAGTCTGAGCCAAGGATAAAATTCAAGCCATTTGAAGCCAAAATTCATCTAAATCATTTTTAAAAATTCAGTTCATACCTCAAACAAAACACTATGCATCTGCATTACAACGATAAATAAAAAAGCTTCTTTATATCTCAATATAATTTTTCCCACATGAGATTGCACAGCATTGTTTTCCAAGTTAAATGGTATGCAGATGATAACATTAGTAAAATGTTACTTCCAAATTCTAAGACAGAAAGATACTAACAAAATTAAACAAATTGTATCAACAGAATGAAAAGTGGCTATCTTCCACAACCGACATTCCATAACTGACTGATGGGACAACTGACACAATGATGGAAATATCAAAACCATCTTAGAATTCATAAAAACAGGTCTAAATAACATAACTCTAAAATGATCATATTATAATGATGTCGATGATACAAAACTTCTGTAATTAAACCAACACTGTTAAGTAACCAAAGAAAAGAAACAAAATACTCACCTCGTAACTAAACCTACCCAGGAGGTGATGGAGTGAAGGATCATCTGGTTGAAGAGCTAATGCAATATCTACATGTTGTTTGAATACAAAACCATCCTCAATTTTTTCACGTGTACCAAGAAACTCGCCACGATTACCAACATTCACGGCAAACCATTTATGTGCTTCTGCATTCGATTCATCAAGTTCCAAGGCTCGCTGGGCGTAGTTAACTCCTAAATTGCAATAAAAACTTTAGCAGTTTTGATACATCAGAGCAAGAGAAACTGATACAGTAACAGCTGGTGATTCAACTCTAGATTATTCATGAATGAATTAATAAAAATACCAGAAATGAGCATCCTTGAATCTAACAAATAAGCTACTCTCTGATTTATCTACTGAATGGATGAAGATTCAATTGTATTTTCATCCAACTATCACAGAGGCCCTAAAATTAGCACCACGTCAAAGTTCCAAAAACACGTGCAACAGAAGAAACCGCCTAACATTCTTGCTTTTGCAACCAAAGAATGTTTCACTTTGGTTACTAACGCTAAACAGTGCTAGTGTTACTTCTACATCAAAAGTTTGTACAGCTGCCACATTGTTATTACTGATAAGAAACACAATAAATACAGCAACACATCAAGAACAAACCTTTAAGTACAAATTCCTTTTTCTTCTCATTATTGCCTTCTGCACCATATGCTGTGGCCATCATGTGACTTGCCTTTGCGAGTCGCCATAACACGCTTGCACAGTCAGCATACTGAAATACACATAAATAGGTGATACAGTAAAAAATACAATCACAAACCATGCCCTTGCCTCAAAGGCTTATGTCATCTTTGAACTACGTATAAGAAAAGTGGAGGAAGAATGTATAGTCACGACTGTATTTTCACCTTCTAATTCCTGAATTTACTTCTCTTGAGAATGAATGAACTTATACTGTTGGTATTTTCCAACATTTTCATTAAAGAAAAGCTACAAAAAAGGTTCTTTACAACAGCACCACTGAACTTCAAAGTGCGGAATCTTTATATGGCAATTTTTAAGGAAGGTGAGAGGAACCATATTTCCTCAATTTTAAAACACTCTTTTCACATTTTAAAACTTATGAAATCATGGTACATCTTACATTTTATAGTGTCTAAGAATTGATATGTCTCGCACCATAGCCACGCGGTCTGAGGCATCATGCTTCGGACTGGTGATACGGAATGCGCGCTGGTTCAAGTCTCGGGGAAAGAAGTTTCTCAAGAGATTTTCGACCGGTGTATGGGACCGGTGCCAAACCAGCATCGTGAGGAAATTGGGAAGCTACAATGGGTCATGAAAACTAGCAATGGCTGGGGGTTCGTCGTTCTGACCACACGTCACCCTACTTGCAACACTGTAAGGAGACTTGGCTACATCTTTTGGCCTCTTTTAGGGTCTGCAACCATTGAATCACTTTCTCTAGGGTTCTGACAAGGTCAACCTGAGCTGTCAACCCGGAAACTATAACCATAAACAGCAATAAACATTGTTTATGTCAAGTGGGTTTTGGCTTCATTGTCAGACCCCCTATTCAAAGCTTCTCACATTCCTCCACATGACAGACTACTGGGCCACAATGGACCAGTTTCACATGCCTTTCTACAGCAACATAATAAAACAAGACAGATACCTAAACATCCTTCACTTCTTACACTTCACAGACAACAGAAATGAAATTAAGATATTAACTGCATTTTTAAAAAACTGTGTTTTCTCTGTTCTATTAAAATGGCTTTTATTTCATCATTTTATCATGTTTACTTTAGATAATATTAAAGTTTTCCATATAGCGTGTACAAAAATTTAAATATCCGCAAAAAAAAACTCTGTAGGGCTGCTACCACTTTGCCATTTAAATGCCCGTCGTTTAAAGGTTAAGATGGGACACTTGAATCAGGATCTTAGCAACAATGGAGTGGTCAGGAGAGTATCCACTGAGACAGGGATTCCAGACAGATAAGATGATATCAAGGTGCAGCGGTAGATGAACAAAAGAGTTTGGTATATAGCGTACAGTTCGGCAGTCAGGATGCTGTTAAAACTGTGGAGGAATTAGGAAAATACCTGGCCGTCATATAGGACACCGCAAGTCAATCCTTGTACAAGAGATCCATCAGTGCACACCACTGTATGGCAGTTCTGCAAAATACCAGCAGTACATGAGAATGGATGTTATGCCTCTTGCATAATTCTAAGTTGGAGATCGCAGGTGGGGCATATCATATGCCAGGATGCAATTCTTGGACATCTAACTGGAAAAAATACAGGGCAATCGTATGCCAAGCCAGTGTAGGAGGTCTTGAAAAAGAACACCCACTGTTTGAGGAGCTGATATGAGAAGCTTGTATGTCACAGAATGTGGGAAAAAATACAGCTGCATATGTCGACTGAGTTGAATCACCAGCTTGCAAAGGAGAATATTCCTAAGCAGTGATAACGGGGGCTTTACCAACTTCACATGCAGACAGTACTGATACTATTGATGATGGTAAGCAAAGCATATAAACTGCAAAGTGCCTCATCATGTAATTATCTCCATTCTACTGTTACCTAATTCTGATACAGACATATTTATCATGGTGGCAACATGCCTCATCTTCATGTTCCAACAATAGGTTATAAGCTGCTCCTTTGTTTTCTGTAGGACCCTTGAGTAGTCTGTCTACTTCATCAAACAGGACCATAAGACTGGGATCAGTTTCTGTTTCACTGGCATTTCCTAGATGGCCTGAAGTCACCATTCTGAAAATATAAAGTCAGCAATTTAAGCAAATTGAATGTACAGCATTCAATTCAAGGCACATAGAATCTGATTTGTATTTTTACGGCTTTTATATAAACTTCAATGAGGATATTCTTTTCATTGTGTTTCATGTTTGTGCATAAATCTCAGTCAATAAGCACTTATATGATAATACTATCACAAAAATTCTTTACTTCTGAGGTGAACAACAGGCTGGGTGTGGCCCATTGCACCTCTTCATGTGGCCCCTTTAACATAACAATGGGTAACTTTAAACTAGGGCAATTCCTAGAGTATGATAAACTGAGGTAAATCCCCCAAACCCTGCAAACCCTTGGCATTTGTACAGTTACACGGTTTCATTCAATCTGATTTTGTTGAGCAATGACTTCATTATTTGGTAGGACTCTGATGTCAACAACTGTCAATAAAAATGGGTTCCTGAAACCCCTTAGTAAGATTGTTTTCAGTTGCCCCAAAGGAGTATGTGACTGTTAATAATAATCAATAAATATTAATAATTATTATACATCTATCACCCAATTTGTGGAGGAGGAATTCACTCATAAGATCTGTACTCCATAAAACCTGTATCCACAAACTTACACATCATCTTCGTCTGAAAAATCAAAGAATTCTTCATCATCATCTGTGCCCACAGTAGAGTACATGTCTATATCAGTATCAACTACACTATCTGTAGCTGACAAACTCCTGCTATTAACTTTCCTGAGAACAGATCTTCTTCCACGATTTGCCCTACGCAGAGAATCAAGCTCACTTCGCATATCTGCAACTGTCATATCCAATCTGGCCAAATCTCGCTGAAGCATCCGTCGACGTTTCTCAGCATTCAATTGGTGGTATAAGAATATACCTGCAGCTCCCAACAAAACACCAGCTCCAACAGCTACTGCTATTAAACTACGCAAAAAGTCTACATTCATTCTGATAGGTTAAGATGCTACTAGTGCTAGAAATCACTACCTAAAGATAGGTTACGAACATATTAGTCAACACCCAGTCTCTCTGATAAGTAAACGACAAACTAAAGAAATTCTCGCATATTCATACAACTTATCACATTATGGGATAAAACGACCACATGCTTCGCACTCAATACCCAACTAGATTGTAGGCATACACCGAGACAATACCAACATAAACAACCTATCATATTATGTTGGTATTACATGTGCTACCAACCTATCAAATTCTACATGATTGTCACAGGAATATTAAGAAATGTTTGTAAGATTTGACGTTTACACAGCGGTGATTATGAAGATTTCTGTCTTCTGGGTTGTTGCGCCGTGTAGTATGGTAGATGTTTACCAATGTTTCGGAGGTCACACTTCCTCCGTCATCAGGGCGATGAATGTGCCAAATGGGTGGAGGAGGCCAGGTTTATAGGAGCAGAACAGTAAATGGCGTTGCTACGTTGCACTAATTGCATTATATTTACGAACTTCTGCTTAATCTGTGGTCTTCTGACTGTCAAAAAAAACATCCTTTTTTTACTCTTTACGCATCGCATAAAACTAAACCTTACTATACAAATGTGACATGTAATAGAATGAACTTTGCGAGAAACACAGATATTACCCTCTACAGATAATACCGGCTTACACCTACATAATTGAGTGTATAGGCTATACAACACATAACTGTAGTTACAGAGCCCCTCATGGTTGCCATCTGCAATATATTATAATGTTGTCAGCCAGCAGCATCTGAAAATTTTCTGTGATCACAGCTGTTATTTGCGGCCAATTGTTGTGTATTTGATCTAATGTTTTGTGTCATTGTTAAATTATGCCTTATGTTTTAGTTACTACACAAATTAGACTGGTAGGACATAGCGATGTAATTCTAATGGAATTACTCAATTATTATGCGTGTTACATATTTATTTATTATATTTTGGAACTAAGTATGACCGTTTCCAGGAACGTGGACCAACTATCGTAGGAGACGAATTTTCTGATACGGAATTGATGTCGTATTTGGGTGCCGTTAAGAAGACCGAGCCCGGAAATAATTTGTAAGCGATATTAATTTAGTTGTTGCTTTGTCAAATTAAAGTATAGTTTGTTCTTCTGTTTTTTATAAGCAATAATCTAATGGAAATTGTTTATAAGAATTTTTTTAATTTTTTGGATTTGGATCTTCTAGGTTGTGAAATCAGCTGAAAATGCATTTCTTTTGCATACAAGTTTAATTTTTATTTATGGGACAGCAGTTTTCATATTTATTTAATTCTTTCTTTAGATAAAATCAGCATTAAATCAAGAAAAAAAATAGTTTTGTTATGACATCTTCAAGACAAGCATAACATGTTTTGTTCCTTATATGATAGATATAAATATAATTGAAAACTGTTTGTGCTAACTTAACTCAGATGACAGTATGGCTGATAAACATATTTCACTGGCTACTTGTAAAGTGATGTAATATTCATAGTGATGTGGAAAATTGTGAAAAACTAATTGAAAGTGTGCTGAAATTTTCAGTGATGCTTGTACATTCAAAAGGTCGTTGCAAAATCGTTGTTAAAAATGGCTTTACTTTAAGTAATCATTTATATAAAGGTGTATCTATCTTCATTTTTGAGGCACTTGTATAAGAAGTTTCTATTAGTTGATGACCCAACATGTGGTTTTTATGTTAACTGGGTAAAAACTGCCCTCTTGTAGAGACACAGAATTGTGTTCTTGGTAGAAGGTGTCATTTTCTGCAATAGTATTGGTTAATGTTATGAAAATTTAGGATGCATTTTACCTTCTGAAGATTGACTCCAAACTTGACCTTAGAAGAATATATGATGTTTATGTACTTTAAATGCTTTTATTTGTATACGTTCAAAGTTTACATATTTGTAATTACCTTGTTTTATACAAAAATGTTATCTAGGAATTCCTCAAACATAACCTCTCCGAGCTAAAATTTTCTAACATACAGGTAGTCTCTGATTTATATTCTAGATACAGTGATGTATGTAGAAATAACAAAAGTTGTAAATCACTCAATTGTCAGTAGTACTTATTGCTTAAAATGTTGTTACTTCAGAAGACGTGATATTAAAATAGACTAATAGCAATGCATATACAGTGTGCACTGCATTGTTTAAGGATGCATGTGAGTTATCCTCTCTATTATGTGATGAAGGGAACTTGGAAAGAGTCTAGTGGATCATTTGAAATTTGTAAAATGAAACACTTCCATTAATAATCTATACTTATAAATAAAAAAAAGCTAATAGTATTGTTTCTGTGTGTGTTTTTGCTTTGATTTCATTGACAAAACTTGGAAATTGCACTGACTCCATATGTACATGGCATAGTCATTATGTTTAAATGAAAAGCACATATTTCATTAATCCTCAAAGGGAACATTTTCTCTTTCTTGTAATGTTTATGGCACAGCAACACAAACATGTACTTGAAACACAGTCTCATACTCTTTTGGATATGACTAATTTTGTTAGCAGAACCCAAAGGCTTCACACAACTGGACTTTATTCTTAACTCACTCACAGTTCTATTTCCATGAGCATTTCAACAGCATAAGGCTACAAGGACATAACTACAATCTAACCCCATCATAGTGCCATATTTTGTCTGCAATGAGTATTGGCATTAAACTAGGATGGTGGTAATTTTTTTTATTTTTGGGGATGTATCGTATCACTTGTTCATTAATAACTTAATTGCTTCGTGTTTGGTTTTTCACATTCACTTGCTGTATCCAAACAAATAATGCATCCTCAGGTTCTTCAAGTGTTTCATCATTTGACCATTCCACACTTTCATTTGTTTCATTCCCTCATTCTTTCTTTCTTTTTCACAGAGAATATCCCCAACTGATGGATGGCTTTACGTCATAAATGATACATTTGCCAATATTTTCTATCTGGATTTTGTTGTTTGTGGGCATACATGCCTGTTTTGTCACCAACATTTAGCACCGCCTCTTTCGTACATTACAGAATTGCTACAACTTATCGTAATTATACACATCTGTATTTGTGTGTACTCGTTAACTTAACTTCCTTACTCTGTTAGCAGACTGGCAGTTGTATTCTAACTGAAGTGTGTTTGCATATTGTATGTTAGTTGCTCAATGCAAATGTACAGAAGACTGTTTCATGATGAAAGAGTCCATTAACACTGTCAACAATAAGGGGTGGTTCTGTAACAGTTCTACTAGAATTATTGGAATTTTGCCTGTTATTATATGCACTTTATTCTCAGTAATGTTTATATTTTCAAATCAACACCTCTCCCAGTTCATTTACCTTAACTGCTTGGTTTTTTAATGTGTGTGTTGACACCACTGACCCAAAGTAACAACCCAACTTCCTCTACAAGTTGCTATAGGTGGTTTCTTACCTAAGAAGGTTTCATTTGTTAACTCAGAATTGTTTGTGTACAGTATTTTTATACTTGAATATTCCAAGGAGTTTTCTGTGTAGCAAGTAGAAACAAATGGCATATCACTGTATGTGGACTTGATTATGATGCATAATGGTACATTTGTATTGCCATGTTGTTGATGGCAGGTGGTGGCTAGTTCAGGAAGCATTTTACCTGAGCATTTACCTCTGAAAATATATAGGTCATATATAGATGGTGTCTGTATTGAGGTTTAATTGTACATGTTTCACCAGTAACCGATTTTTTACAGTGTTATAAAAGACATTGTAAATAACATGTTGAAAGATTGATTTTCAGTAGGATCCCTTCTAAACGGTAGTAGTAATAGTAGTAGTAGAAGAAGATATTCCTTCTATGTGCTATGGTGCTATGCTGTTACATAAATAACTCATAATTAATGAAATAATGCAATGTGTTTCAGTGCTGTGTATGTTGCTGAACATCCTCCTCGCTTGATTCTCAATAAATTGGAAGTCAGAGGTTACAAGCTGGTAGGCATGAGTGGAATTGGGCAGACTTGTATATGGACGATGCACAAACCATTGCCAGATCATGGGGGGATAGAATTTAAGTGAAGAGCACACATAATATTTCAACCAATAAGTTGAGTAGAATTTAAGAAAATACTTGGGATACAAGGATGTATTTTGTGATGTATGTAGTATTTTTATTTTATATAGTTCATCTGCCACATTAATTGCATGGCTTGAAAAATATTCTAAATAAACAGAAAATAAATTTAAGATGGCCATTTTCTGGTATTTGGCCCCATGCTGTCTGGTAGATACTGACTATCGTTTCAGAGGTGCATACTGCCTCCATAATTAGGGTGACTGATGATGGAGAAAGCACCTCTGAAATATTCATCTTTATATACCAGACTATGTGGTACCCAGAAGACAGCCATTGTTGTACCTGTCACTGCAAGAACCAGAAAGTAAATTGTGGATTGTGGTAATTAAATGTAATTAAGATAAGCTTCTTAAAGGATCAAACTAAACATAAAATTGCGTTATATCTTTATATTATAGGTCACCACGTGCAGCCAGTGCCTTCCCCTTGATTAGATGATTTTTCAAGCCCTTCGAATGTTAATATTGCTTAATTTATGAATACATATTTTGTAACTTTTCTTCAAGGGTTAAGGTGGAAAATATTACTTATGAAATGTCAAAAGGCAAGGGGGTATACTATAGGTTCAGAACCTGTGCAGCATGTATACCAAGGTGGTATGTGAAGTCTCTTCATGGTGTACACAAGATATATTTCATACATTGTCAAAGACAGGTTGAAGGGGACTGATAGCTGTCGACAATTTAGAATTTGATTTTGTAAGTTTGCTTAAAATAAAGTTTTATATGATTATCTTGTTTGTACAACACATATCACATATGGTTTGAAATAAGAATTAAGTCTCCATTGAAAATGGGCATGTGAAATATTGCCCTGAGGCCAGGGGATGCATGAACTTTTCAGAAAGGCTGGGGTAACGTTTTTAAATGTAGATGACGGACTGTGACACGTCAATTTTGTTTGTTATTAACTGTGTTCTACAAGAAGACTTGTGCATATTTTGGGCATGCTACTTTGTAATCCTAGTTTATGTAGATTTCTGAGTATTTTGTTCAGGTCAGCTCATCATTCCTTATAAATTAAAATGTTAATAGAACCTTATGCATGAGTAATATAAATGATCCAACTCTAAGTTGGTCATTTTTGCATCCATTTGTGGTGATATAATGGTTAGTACATTTGCTTCCATCTCCAGTTTGAATCCTAAGGTTTCCTTTTTCCTCATTCTAATCAAATTCTAGTAGGCCACATTATCTCCTCTCATTCGTACTGCTTGAAAATCATGTCATTTCTTGATGTTAATTAATTTACATCATTAAGGATATGATCCAAAATGTAGCTGGGTATGATGTACAGTTTTGTTTCTGTACACGGCAAAAATCACCGGCCTGCAAAGTCTATGAAACAACCACCAGATCATTCATTTACTAGATAACTTAGAAGCAAAATATAAAATGTACCAGTAAAAGAACCATGGAATATTTATCTTTTCATACCATGATTAATAATTATGATAAATGGAATGGAGTTTTCAAATTTTTATCTTTTGGAACATACCAAACACTTTGAGAATATCTTGTGACACTAAAGTTAGTAGCATTACTGATGTTTTGAGAATACAGGGACAGTTAGTATATGATACGTAGACATGATGTAATGAGCACATCTGACTGCTGAGGATCGATGTTTATATCTTTAGATAGGAAGGTAAAAAATATTCAACCAACCAACCAAAAAGCTAACTGAGGGCGGAGTCCTGCGCAAGCGCAAGCATCGTCCCTACCTAGGTGAAACCATTCCTGTACACAAGGCACATTGCTGGAAATGGTAAACGGTCTTAATATAAAAAACGGAAATTTTGCTAAAGCTAACGGGATTTCGTCGTGGCGGGAGCCTCGATCATTCAAACTGGGATCTGTTGCTGCTGATGGGAGGTTAACCCATCAGACAAGTTGTCCAAAAGAATTTGGTTGGTTGGATCTCTGGGGTTTGAACCCAGAGAGGGAGGGGCCGTTTCGGCTGAAGGCCTCTGCGGCATGGGGGGAAGATCACTTCAGCTGATGGCCTCCATGATCGGGGGGGAGGGTGGCGGGCCGTGCCCCTATTGGTAAAAAATATTGTAGCGTGGGACGGTTTTTATACAAATACAACAATGTCATTAAACAGACACAACAGTTATAAATGAATACAACAATGTCATTAAACAGACACAACAATGCCAGACACAATAATGTCTAACGCAACAATGGCTATAAACAAATACAACAATGCAAAAAGCAGCAATGTCTATAAACATACAACAATGCCGAATACGTAACAATGTCAATAAACAGACAACTAAACTGTTTATTGACATTGTTGTACTGCTCTCACGACAACACGTTACAATATTTTGTACTGGATGATAACAAGAATTTCCCAAATATAACCTGCTTGCAACTTCTTTGGAATATTACTTTGATGTGTTACTGACATTTCCATGTATTTGAACTCGTCAACATTTTAAGGGCCGTAATTATATTGTTTTATTTGTGTTCACATCTACACCAACATGGTTATCATCTAAAAGAGTTCTCCATGTTTTTATGGTATTTATGTTTTTGTCGAATAATGCTTAATATCTTTCACTGGAATGGATGCTTTATATGTTCCATATGGTTTCAGCTCCTCCTCACTTTCCAGGGCTTTCCTAATAGTATATGCAAAATAAATAACATTGGCACTAAAGTATCTACTTGTTTCAGACAATTCTGAATAAGAAACTGCAAAACTTAATAAGATAAGACATTTTTTGTGCGATGAAATAATCATAAGTAAAAAATTACCAGTAATACAAAGTTGACTCCTTTACTGTAATTGAGAGTTTGCATATCACTGACTAATCAGCCCAGCTCCCACACTTCAGAAGTGTTCGGTGAAGTCCCAGTATTTTCAACTAACTAATTAACTAGATGGCTTACGGAACCCAAAGGTTCATCACTGAATTAACCAAAGCCCTCCACCAGAACCACCAGATGTGTAGTGTGTGATATGACATAGTGGCCTTTGTAATTCTGAAATAGTTTTCGAAGACATTATATATCAGGTAGCTGGTACGTGAACGAATCCTCTTGTCATACTGAGTATTATATTCTGCTGTTATTGTATTAATTTAAATAGTCAAATATTAACTTCACTGAATAAACACACTAATGAAAATGTTCCTGTTATTTCAGACTGATTGATTTCCATGGCAAAAGTGCAGGTAATGAATGTGGTTGTGCTAGACAACCCATCAGCATTCCTGAATCCATTCCAATTTGAAATCACTTTTGAATGTTTGGAAGATCTGCAGGAAGATTTGGAATGGCGTATCATTTATGTAGGCTCAGCAGAAAGTGAAGCATTTGATCAGGTGTTGGACACTGTTTATGTCGGACCAGTTCCCCAAGGACGGCACATGTTTGTGTTCCAAGCCGATCCACCCGACCCTGCTAAGATTCCAATTGCTGATGTAGTTGGAGTCACTGTTGTTCTGCTCACTTGTTCTTATAGGTATATAATTTTGTATAAGATTGTTTGTTGCCACAGATGTCCTTACAGGAATGCAGAGAATCTATTATTGTAACTGTTCATAAAACTGAGCGGGTAATTCCAAGGAATCTTAGTTTTATTACCATTATTTGATATCTTATGTTATGTACTATTGGTGTTGAAATTTCAGCATAATAGTTGACTATTTATTGGTCATATTTCTAGTACTTAGTAAACAATAAAAGGGGGAGTTATTAGCATGGGGCATCAACTTCATTTAGAAAGGAAGTACTGCGCAGTATTTTAGATGTATTATAATAAAAAAAGCAATGTATGTGTAATACATTTCCAATTTACAGTGGGCTAAAAGGCACTGGGGGGTGCACTGTCATTTCGTTATAAATTGTTAATCGTGAAAAGTTTAAGGCTAATATGGTTTCATCATGACTTATGTTTGAAGCATGCAACTGTTTTACTTTACTTACTCATTAGAGGATTTGATTACAGTGCTGTTGTGTTGCTTCAGGTATCTTATTTGTAACACCATCCAGTGAAACACTGGGTAAATAATCTGTTAAATCTAAATAGCAATATTTCCCATGCAGGCTGGGCTGAGTGAATATGTTAATGCAAAGACAAAGGGAGATTAATGAAACCTTATAACTTAAATTCCATTGCACTTTGCATAAAAGAGTAACAAGACATTAGTATTGTGTCCCAGAGAAAATAAGTATTCTGTTATGTGTTACACTGCAGAATTCTGATGTTTGTACCATAAGAGCTTCTTTTCATTACAGGGGCCAGGAGTTTATTCGTGTAGGTTACTACGTGAATAATGACTATGGTGATCCAGAATTGCGGGAGACGCAGCCCCCTTCTGCTCCACAGTTTGACAAACTGCAGCGAAACATTCTAGCCACCAATCCAAGAGTCACACGATTCAAGGTTTGGTTCATTTGACAGGTTCTACCCTGAATTATTTTAACTCAGCATATTTCTGTGTATCAATAGGCATATTTTGTATGGTCAGTTATAACTGATTGAATAGTAAACTTTATAAGGTATAACAATTCTGACTATTTCAAGTTAACATGCAATACTATACCATTTAATTTACAAGTAGCAGAGGAGTTTTGCTTTTCTTCATAGGAAATACACCCTTTGCTATACTTTATCTTTTGGACTAAGAGAAATTTTGTAATAAAGTTCTACAAGAAAATTTCATGTACATATTTTCCATTTCATCAAGCCCATGTATATGGGTATGATAAAAAAGGGGAACCAATTACATGTGTTATTTGTTATTTCAGATACATAGATATAAAGTGTTGTAAAGTGAGGGCTATCCCTGTATTTTATATACGTATCTTGCTGTGGAAAAATCTTGGAAGTTAAAAATTATTTTTCATATACAGGTGGCCCAAATATATATATACACATTATAATACAGAATAATAACTTTGTCAATCAGTTCCTCACCACTGTCAGTTGTGCCATGAATTTATTAAGATGGCTTTATTTAATTTGTTGAATGCATGTATACATCTTTCTGGGACAGCCTGTATAAATACATATTCTTAGTAGTGGATTCATTATCTTCAACAGAGATATAAGTTTTTCTGTTTATTCTTTGACTGTCTGTATCTGTTGCAGGTGGATTGGGATGACAATCCAAACAAACATAACAAAATCTCCTCCTCATCCAGTCAACTGGATGTCAGTACAACAAGCATGGATGAGCCAATCAAAGCCAACCTTTTGAATTCTTCGACCAATGACAGTATTGTCAGTATGGAGTTGTAAATATGCTGATCTTTTAATAAAGTTTCTTCTTGAAACAGTCACTGGTTGCATTATATGTGCTTGTGATGAGGCTAAGCACAATATTTTCAAATGTGCGAGTATTGTTTTAGAATCATAAGATGGTACGAATTTTTTATGCGACAACACAAAACATTGTTATTAGAGAGTCAAGACTGGACAAGATGATTGTGTACAATTGTATAATGTGCAAGTACAGTAAACAATGAAGAAGTATAAAAGTACAGTGGGACACAGTCATTTATTTTTGTATGTTAAATTTGGTTAGAATTAATCCTAGTACAATGAATGAAGAGAACCAACAGAGCATCGATGCATTGCTTCCACCATGTCCAGAGGAACCACAAGAGTCTGATTGCTATGGAAGTGGTTGTAGCCCCTGTGTGTTTGACATTTACCACTTGCAACTGATAGAGTGGCAGAAACAGTGCAATGAGATTCGCTGCAATGAAAGATGTCGCTCGGAGACCACTGATACAGAATCAGACAAACCGTTACTATCACAGATCAAGTTCAGTCCATTCCAGCTACTTTCAGTGCAGCAGCACACACATGACACATTTATATACTCGTTTCAGGCTGTTAGAGCCAGCTCTGAGCAAGACCTGAGAAGTCATGATATAAAGTATACACATGTCAAAGAACCTCTTGACATAAAAGTGGGCCAGCATCTCATCATGAGGTATAATATTGATGAAAATCAAAATGGTTTTCTAACTAGAGCATACACTCCTATATCAGACCTGAAATCCAGCAGAATGGGACAGTTTGAAGTGCTAATAAAGTTGTATGAACATGGTAAAATGTCTAAATACATTCAGAACTTGAAAGAGAATGATATTGTTGAATGGAGAGGCCCATTTGGGAACTTCAAATATGTGCCAAACAGCTACAGACATTTGCTGATATTCTGTGCTGGAACGGGAATAGCTCCAATGTACCCCATTGCCAAATTCATAGTAGAAAATGACTCGGATGAGACATTTGTTCAAATGTTATTTGCCTGCAAAAGTTTTGAAGATATCCTCTTTCGAGATGAAATGCAGCAGTTGGCTCTGTATTGGAATTTCTCTGCAGTAATCTTTCTATCACGAGTTGAATCACCATTACAGAGCCAGGCTCGTTACGGTGAAATTATCAGAAAAGGAAAGATGGACAAAAGTGTGATACATGAGCATCTTGCAGGAAAGACATTACAACGGGTTCTTGTTTTGATATGTGGGACAAAGTCATTCAACAAAGATATGATAAATTATGTGAAACAAATTGGTGTACAAGATGAGAATATTCATCTGTTTTGAAACAGTGTGGTCATACCACATTTACTTCTCAGTTTTTACACCTCTTTTAGCTCAAAATAATTGCATAAAATTGTTTTACAGAGCTTTTTAAGTTTCAAATTTAACATTCTTATTTATTTGTATGCACACTAATATTATGGTAATGGATTTTCACCTCTTTGATGCATACTTGTCTTAGATGGTGGCTGGATATAAGTTTTTAATGCAGAAACAATGGCCCAGACTACTGGATAAGTATAGATGAAAAACTATGTAGTAGACCTACTCTAAATTCTGTCCAGCTGGTTCAATCTAATTGTCTAAATGAATGTTTACATGTACATGAGTTCTTTTACAGACTATGATGGGGAATTTGTACTTCTGTTAGAAAAACAAGAGGAAAAGAATGCTTGGTGTAGTCATGGAAATATCACACATATGTTTGAAGTCCTTCTGAAAAAGAAAGGGTTGACACCCTTTCCTGCTTCTGATTTAAGCAGTGCACACACCCTACTTAAGAAGACCATGGCTAAGGAGGACAATTTAAATAAGCATTAACTTTCTGAGTGGAGAACACTGTTAAAAGAATGTACCATTTATTAGAAGATTTATCTGGCAGTTTCATGACTACACTAAACATTGACATGCCCAAACTATCACCCCCTGCTTCATACTTGGGAGGTTTTAATTCAAATCTCAGCCCAGAGACAAGCTATTCTGATTTTTAATTTTTTTCTCAGTCCCTCAAAGTAAATGCCAGGATGGTACTTTAAATTGTGCTGTAACTGCTTCCTCTCACATCCTTTCCAATACATTAATCAGAAATGTTACATAAACCACAAATAGCTTCTTCATTTTCAACATAAAATAGCATGGAAAGAACATGGAGTGAAGTCAGAAATATATTCCCCTTTTCATAGTTTTATTCACCAATCCATTGTCCAGACTACCTCAGCAACAGGTGGGCAAAAATTTGTAAAATTAACTCACTGGAAAGGGATGTCAAAATAGTATGTAGGTACACGTTACCATATTGTCAGTGTCACATAAAAAGTCACTAACTGTGTATTAGAAGTTCTTGAGTAAAATTAGTATTAATGTCATCCTCACAGCTGAACAACACATAATAAAATGTCAAACTTGGAATATATAGTGAAATATCAAGGTAATAGTTGGCGATTTCTGGTGCACATGCTTCCAAATAAGTTCACTTTTATGTGCTACATAATTAGCTTCTGATAAAAATGTCAGTTAATGATTTTTTCCATGATACTGATGATATATACTGCATGTGGTTGTGAATGAGGCCAAGCACAACATTTGCACATGTGCGAGTATTGTTTTAGAATCATAAGATGGTACGAATTTTTATGCGACAACACAAAACATTGTTATTAGAGAGTCAAGACTGGACAAGATGATTGTGTACAATTGTATAATGTGCAAGTACAGTAAACAATGAAGAAGTATAAAAGTACAGTGGGACACAGTCATTTATTTTTGTATGTTAAATTTGGTTAGAATTAATCCTAGTACAATGAATGAAGAGAACCAACAGAGCATCGATGCATTGCTTCCACCATGTCCAGAGGAACCACAAGAGTCTGACTGCTGTGGAAGTGGTTGTAGCCCCTGTGTGTTTGACATTTACCACTTGCAACTGATAGAGTGGCATAAACAGTGCAATGAGATTCGCTGTAATGAAAGATGTCGCTCGGAGACCACTGATACAGAATCAGACAAACCGTTACTATCACAGATCAAGTTCAGTCCATTGGACCTACTTTCAGTGCAGTGTTGTGTGTGCACACGACACATTTATATACTTATTTCAAGCTGTCAGAGTCAGCTCTGAGCAAGACCTGAGAAGTCATGATATAAAGTATACACATCTTAAAGGACCTCTTGAAATAAATGTGGGTCAGTTTCATTCTTCTACCCAAGATATTTTCACTTGTGAAGCAACCCAATTTTTATTCACATGTCCGAACCCGAAGTAAATGTTTGGACATATCTTACTAATATTGACCAGAGAGAAATGTCTTGAATGAAAGGTGGAGGTTTTAATAAAATACAATATTTGCATAAAGCATATTGATTTAAAACGGTTACTAGAACTATATTACAACCATAATATTGCATATATTTTTTCACATGCTCCCCTAGTATCTCTGCCATTTAATTGATGTTCACTTGATTTGTAAAATACTGCAATAATATATCTAAGACAGCACAAGTTATTGACCTTCTTAATACCATCCCCAAAGATAAATTTCTCCATTAATTTTGTAAAAAATCTCAAAGCGGCTAAAAATCTTTTTCGAGTTGTGTTTATAAAACTCCCATTGTCATTTACTAAGGTATGTCTTATTTCAAAAAATGTATCTACATAAGAGCAGTCTATTAAAAATAAAGCCATGGATATTCATCTCTTTAGGGATGGAATATGAGACGTGTTAAATTTTGAATTTATACTGTATGTAACTGACAATACTGGACTTCTCTATTCTGCTCTTGTTGTTATGAAATTCCATACCAAGCTTGTTGATTGCATTTATATACCCACCAAACTTTATTCTTTTTAAAAGTTTTTAATAATGATTAATGTAAAAATGTTAATGGAAAGCATGTCATTTTCTATAGATTAAAAGGTCAATATGGTATTTACTGCAAGCAAAGTCATTGACAGGTTGTAAATTTTGTGAAACCAATGGAATGGATACCTAATATAGCAGTTCTGTAGTATATTTTGTATACTGAGTTCCCATTGTTTTACATTTTGTTCTTGTTTTAAACATGATATTACCACATCATATTTATTGTAGTGCATTTTTGCCAGTTATGAAGCTGTTAGGATTGTGTAATTAAATAAAACATTTTGTAGCATCAAAGTGTTATAACTTCTTTACGTGGCTTGTCTTATTTGCAGCAATAGGTGGTACATTCTCTTAAGAATGATCCCCCACATATAATGTCAACGCTTGCTTCTCCGTGTCTTCCAAAGGACCAGTAGGTACAAGGCTGAAATTCTGTGCAACTGAAAATAATGGAGATATCATTATCCTATTACTGAGGCTGGTTAAGAAAGTTATTTAGTGCAATATAAAGTTACGTGAGAACAAGAATGCAGCTGAAGACAGGCTGCAGCAGCAGTGTGCGTATTCCTGATCTCATCTGTCAGACAGACAGGACACAGAACAGAAAGGAGCTGAGATCACATCACAGTTGAGATGTTTTGATAATTCCTTATCATGCATCACATTTTAAAAATAAACAAATGATGACATTTTTGTAACTTATAGCTGAGTGTTAATGCAGTTTAATCTAATAAGTTCCAAAAACTTCTGAAATTTAACAGCAATTTTTCATGTCTAGAAAACTTACTATATGCCATTTTTATTTGGACTAAATATGTTTCAATAATTTGTTTCCATAATGGTAAAATAATGATTAGTATATACTGAAGTCTGTGTTTCATATTGGTGATCAGCTAGTTAAAACATAATGAATTCTATCCATGTTCGGTTAAACTAAGTCTCTCACACTATTTATAGATGGACAAGAAACAGAAGAGTATTGCGACTTCTATTTTGTCTGTTAATATTTTCCCTATAAACTTGTAAAAATTGTCTTAATATGCATTCAGAAATATTAACACTTAAACAATAATCCTAAATTACATTAAAATTGTTACTTATTTTACCTATAAACTTCTAAAAATTGTCTTAATATGCATTCAAAAATATTAACACTTAAACATTAATCCTAAATTACATTAAAATTGTTACTTTTGAGACTACAGCATACTTAAAGTAAGATATTACAAGCGTCTGATACCAAAGTAACAAGGAACCACTTTGAAAGACGGAATAAGGAAAATCGTGAAAAGTTAAGTTTGGATAGCTGAAATTTAGCATCCTGATCTAAACTGTTTCAATTCCCATTCTCATAAACTTTCCATTACAATTAGTAATTACCAAAATAAAATCACTTTATCTTAACTGCAACAATGTTTGGAGATTCAACTGCCCTACCCACGGCATTACAATTCCACGTTAAAATTTACTATGTAGGATGGAATCAAACCTATTAATTTCAAGCATAATACACAAGTAACTGGCATCAGCCAATTCTGTCTCGATTGTCACTTATTTGAACATTTCCCTTACGTGAGATACAGGATTAACATTCACTGCTTTCAGTTATACAAACCGTCCCTGCATGATGAAATCACTAACTCCTGTAATTGCTGGTAGCGTGATCCACTGTTAACACCTAGGCCTGCCACTACACAGTAAACAGCTTCAGAAAATGTGCTTCATTCACCCAAACACGTTTATATTGAAGAGTCTAGGTGCAGTACAGTAGTGTTTTATTAATGAACATTTAAGTACGCCATAAAAAATTAATCTTTTCATAAAACAAGACAATACTGCAAACTAACACACAAAGACATAATGAGAAAGAAAATACAAGTACATACATCACAGGCCATCTACCCCTGCCCCTGTTAGGTGCTTATGCCATCTTCCAGGATGTAGTGAACACTTCTCATGTCTCTATGACGATGACGGCACCAGATCTCCAACTTTCACCACTAACTTTTTTCTTACTTCCTGATTGGCTTCTGCTCACTTGGTGAGATTGAAGGAATACACTTCTGAGATGGGAGTGTGCTCTTAGGGCAGAATTTTAATTCTCATATAAACTTGGTTTTGGACATGAAATTGCCTGTAAGACACAAAGTGGAAGATGTGTAATAAATGTGCACACGTTAAAAACATTTAACTTCATTTCTATCCACAGTACAACAATGTCAGATTCAGTACTGAAAAATTTGCCAATGCAGGCTTAAAAAATGGGAAAGAGAAAATCAGAGAAAGTCCACCTGGTAGTTTGTTTACTGTCTCTTGTCTGTTCTGCAAACATGATTTTAAATTTAAGCAACAAGACATTTTCACGGGCATTAGCCTGAGAATTTAAATGGTAACCCACTGTCCAAGCAAAGTTCTTATGTCTGAGATAATTTGATACCTTAAAATAAATTTTATTTTCTAAAATATGATAAATACCAAGTAATTAAGAGTAATTTGTTCACCATATGCATCATCTCCATGTATTGCATAAAAAAATCAAACTTTCCTGGAAAAAATGCCACAGTTCATAACAAGACTGTTCTTATGTGATGGAAGAATACAATTCTGAACTCATTTAGATGAAAATAAACAATAAAACTGTCCAATAGATTTTCCTTTATACCCATTGAAAATTTCATATCATTCTACAGTCATAAGGTGCAAAAAAAAAGGCAATTAAATACATAAATTTAAACAAACACCAGAAATGTGTTTGTTATTGGTATTAAGCCCGTGGTGTATATATTCTGCAATGTGATCTTCCCAGTTGGACACCCCTGTTTCAGTATGTTTGTAACAACTTACCATGCTACAGTTAGGGCACTCTCCATGAACATAATTGAAACTTTTATTACTGGTTGGGAGTGTTTGTAGCCACTGGAACACAAAAAGTTGCAAAATAAGCACAAAGACACTCAGCGTATGTTCAAAATGCCAGATTTATTTTGATGCAGTTTCATAAAACAACATCAATTACTACCTTATAGCAATATTACAAGTATAAAGGATGGTTAAGAATGAATCTGTGACAATGAATGGTGAAAGGTGCAACATAAATTACAAGAATTTGGAAATAAAAGTGCCGAGTGAAATTAACTGAACACAGAAGAGGAATCATTTACATAATGTGAAAGTGTGGTGATATGGCAAAGGTTTATGCACATTTTCATATTATTAACAGTTAATTGCAAGCACTACGGCGAATGTTTAAGGAGCCAAGTTAGCTCAGTCAGTACAAAGACCGACTACACACTGGACAACTGGGGTTCGATCCCCGGCAGGGGCAGAGGATTTTTCCTCTAGCCTCTGCACCCAGACTGGCATGTAGCGCAACAACTTAGCTTATAGCATATGTAGAGGGTTCCCAGGAGATATCTGATGTTTGACTTTCCACTAAGTATAGTTATATTGAAAGATACCAAGAAGTAACTGCAGGAGAAATGAGCAAAAATAAGTTAAAATACAAGCTCTCATAAATTCCAATGTGAATATGAAGACCTGCAAATATGTGCAATAACCCATAACAGGTCAAGAGGACTTAATACTTCAAAAGTTAATAAAAATGTATGCTACCTCAAATAAGCAGGACAAATGATACAGCATGCCACATTTCTCATTATCACAAGCCTGTGAGGGGAGTTCTCCTTCCAGTCGAGCCATGAAGCAGATGGCACATTCCCCTTGATGTAAAAGATCCTGTGGGTGTCCAGTATCAGCTGGTGCTGCTGGGAAACCTGACAGTCCTAGTACAAACTTCAGGTTTTGTATGAATCCATCATCACTGGACCAAAACTGAAATGAGAGCATTGAAAACCCACATACAACAGGCGGTAAAATCCTTCATACCGCCAAAAAAGCTGTTATAACAAATTCATGTTGTGTCTATTATAAATATATGATTTAATCCCATATCTAAACTGATTTATGATTATATGTGGTAGTGGCATTCCCTTCCGGAATTTAGTAGTGGCATTTACTTCTTACGTGGCTTGGTTACCAAGGACATATTTAAAAAATGGGGTGCAGAATGCGGTTCTCTCTTCAATCAAGTATAGCTTTATGTCAAGAATGAAACACAGAGTACCACATAGCATGTGATGAACATTGCAAGACTACATGACAAGAGGTGATGGGATGTAGTTTCACAAGGACTAAGGTATAGCAAATATAAATACAACATTTGAACACAGATGATACATATATAGTGCTTTGATTGCTGAATTTCTGGGGCCTCTAGCAAGAAGACCATCCCTTAGAATGCAAGGAGATAAATATTTTACATCAGACATGTTGCTAACAAAGTATTATATCAAGGCATTCTACATAATAACTGGGTATTTTATATTATGCCCACCCATTTTGGACACTTCTGAAACTGGTACAGGAAGTTCTAACAATGGATTTATTACAGCAGTCACAGGCACAGAAAACAGAAATTAGTGATGTCTTTATAAAGAAGTATCAATAGGAAATGTGATGTACTGAAAATGCCACATGTTTCACTGACATCAAAGATACCTGGCAGATACCAAGATAGACTTTCATCTTTTCAGGTTGTGGAATCTGAAATCTGCATCATCAGTAGACAATATATCCATTGTCAGAACCGCTTCTGTACCAACATTGTATAATCAGTCAACGTGACATACACAACAGGGATTCCCAAACAGAATCTACGCCCAATAGCAAAAAAGATGATTTTGAAATGCTGAGAGATGATTTACTTAATAGACTCACATTTCAATAAGTTCTGGGTATGACAACTATCATCATTGTGTTCTGAAGAACACCTTTAAGCACAGACATAAGTACTCGTTTGAAAGATTCCTTCAGCCCCACAGAGCAAGACTTCAAAACCAAGTGAAGACAGTTATTCACATTGCATGTTCCTATTGTAATTATTCCTGTAATGTTACCAAATGTTACCTGAAACTTTTCAGTAAGAGATTTTTTAAATGGTATGATGGCTCGTTCTGAACCAAGGAATTTGATATCTGGCCTCTTGGTTGCATTGAAGGGGTCAACTGTAATCTGTATTGACACATTACTCCCTGTAATAAGAAACAATTAAGGAGCAATTATAAGATACACAGAGACAGAAAAGTTAATTTGGTTGGTTGATTGACTAACCCCTCAACACCGACACATTTAACGTGTCAAGGTTTACATGTCACGTGTTATAGTCTAATGGGAACCTTTTTGCATTATCACTTTGAAGATATTCTGTTGTGTGTTTGGTATGCTCTGAATCACAAAAATCTGAAGTTTCCACTATGTCAATTGCAGTAGCGTCCACAATACTTTTGAGATGGCCCCATACTTAAAAATCCAGTGTGTGTAAGTCAGGTGATCACTAACTCTTAACTCAACAGATTTAGATATTCCTATATGAGATTTAAAGTTTTCACCTCGATCCTAGACTTTCCCAACTCCCTGTGACAGAATAAATAAATAAATGATTCTTATCAATTAAGCCTACTTCATTATTATTTAGTAATAATCACCCTGGTAATTATGAGTTCAAGTTGGGAAGTATATCCCAAACTTACATTCCTCATATGTGTCTCATGTAACCTCGATATTTGACTGTGATAAATTACTGTATCATAAATGATACTCATATAATTAGTTATTTGTTAGGAAACCAAGAATTACGTAGTATGACAAGAAGGCAGGAGGTACAGTGGGAACAAAGAAAGTATGGAGGCATGAACAAGAGAAAAATCTATAAAGAGATAGAAAGAAATAGAAATAGCTTTGTGACATGCTAATCAGTGAAAGGGACACACCTATGCATGGTGATAGTGATATAATTATGTAAAAATAATTGTTAAGTGAAAAGAATACTACATTTCATGTATGATCTGAAGCTTTCACGGCGACCAAGTATTTTGAATTCTTCTCAGACTACCAACTGTGTATAGTGGTTTAATGGAGAAAAAACATGAGAACCATCTTCATCCTCAGCGTACTCTGGGTTTACTCCATTAAACCACCTTACACGGCTGGTAGTCCGAGAATAATTCATATTACTACATTTCATATTTCCACTTGGAATTTGTAAAGAATGTGATTTAAAGCTTACCAATCACAATCCTCCTGTACATATCTTTTCTTGTTGGGTTATCAGGATCTATCACCCAGCATTCACGATCGACTTCATCTAGCACTTCCCAGAACATTTGTAATCCTGAAACCTGCTGCACAAAGCTCTTGTAAATTGCAGCAAGTGAAGAACCCTGAGGGAATAAAACCTTTTTTTTTTTCTTGTGAGGTTTACCAGATCATCAGGATTTTTAATAAAAACACAATGTTGGACAGATCAAGTAAAACATCATAATATGCGGTAGGAAGAACATTTCAGATTTAGAAATGTGACAGTAGAGACAGCCAATTCCATGGTTTATTATTTTGTATGTTATTTAATGATTCTGTATCAACTGCAGCAGTTAGCATCTAATTAAATTAGAACATGATTATCTTCAGTGCAAGAACTGAGGAGGAAACAGTCATGGTCTATTTCAAAGTATTGCCACAACATTTGCCTGGAGAATAAATTACATAAAAACAGCAACTTCAGTCATAAAAAAACACACTCCAGCTATTTGTTTCAGATTGTTTTATAGTATAGTCTAGTTCAGAAGTACAGTTACATCACTTTATTTACATTTTCACAAATTATTTGTGTAACACCATACACGGAATCATCTGTACTAGGATGCACCAGATCAAGCAGGTAACAGAAGGAAAGGTAAATTTCTGCCAGACCACATGGTGCAACAACCCAGAAGACAAACACGTCCTTCCATTTTTGCATATTCACCATACATCAGTCAGTGTCTTCTCACGTTTTCAGCATCATATAGGCGCTACAGTTGATAAACCTCTAATCAGTCAATAAACAAAGACACCTACTCACCGTCTTTATGTTTCTGACAAGCTGTTCTGGAAGATCAGCATGAATGACTGGTGGTGAGCTGGGATAGTTCATCCCAAGACTGAGATTGAGGATGTGATTTCTTCCTGCCTGGTCCACAGTCTGCAGTTTCACCTCATTCAGTGAACTGGAGACATGAAGAACATGATCCAGACCAAGGACTTCCAGCTCAGATATAATGTGTTTATATGTTTTGACTAGGAGATGATGATCTGAATGCAGTAATGATGCAGCAGTACCTGCCTCCAAGCATTTCATCTGGAATAACAGAAATTTCATCCCAGACTTGAATTTCAAAGAGTTTAACCACAACAGATACAGATGTTTCCATACACTCTGTATCTTTTATTTCTGAACCAAGTCTGAGAACATCTGCTTCCCAAATTTTAACCTGTAAATCACTGTGTGCTATCAGTAACTTTACATTACAGCACATTTATCTATGAATGAATGACTTGGTTCTTTTCAATAATGTGCTGGTGTGCATTATTATTATTTATTTAGTGTTCTGTCGGACGACAGGTCCATATGAACAGGATCCTTCCATCCTTTTCTCGGACTGGGACCTGTTCATATACGTTCTTGGCAGATGATCCAGAAGTGGTTTGCCATTGCCTTCTTCTGTGTGTGAATGGAGTAATTGTTGGGATGCCACGGAGGAAAACTCCGTGTTGCCTAGACCACGGCCTTGCCCAACACAAGTTATAAATTCGGGCACCGCCGGGAATCGAACCCGAGACCCCAGGATTACAAGGCCAGCGTTCTAACCGCTAGACCACCGTGCGGTAGGTGTGCATTAGTGAAATTAAATATAGTGTTACCGAAAGACTTCACCAATAATACCCCACATTTAAAGTGATCCGTAAAACAAATGAGATATCGTGTAAAGTTCTCTTCAACAGGTTTAGTGGTCGACAAAAACACTTGTTCGCTCATTCACAAACAAACCTGGAACCACTGCACCCAGTGTTTATTTAAACTAAATAAAGACTGTGAAGAGGTACAAGGGAGTAGATGTATAGTTCCACATATTCTTAACCTAAGAATTAGATAGAGGTGAGTGAAAGTTCACAGGAACAATCTACAGTTTTAAAGAAAAAGAAAGAAACTGTCCCATGGAGAGAAAGCATCAGCTTCTGACATTTACTGCCAATTAAAGGCACAGTAATTCACGAGGGCCTGTAGATGAAAAAGTGTGGGCACACTGGGTGTTACTGACACCAAAACAAAAGCAAATATGGGTGCAATAATGTTGCAAGCTGCTTGAACTGACAACCCTGATGGTATCTTTGCCAGGCTGGTCACAGAAGATGAGTCATGGTTTCATTATCATACCCCTGAAAAGAAAAAATAATTCATGCAGTAAAAGCATGATGGAAATTCTTAGCCCAAGAAATTTTGTACAGCTCCCTCTGCTGGAAAGCAGATGCCCTTGGTTTCCTGGGACAACAGTAAACAGTGTGATTTACTGTGGCATCCTCACACATCTATATCAGAAAATTCAACAATAGCACAAAAACAAATGGGAACACAAAGTGTTAATGCCAGGCCCAATGCCAGCTGTCAAACAACACAGACATAAGCATCCTTTGGGTCCAGTGTCTGACAATATCCACTGCATTCACTGGATTTGGCTGCATCGGATTATGCCATTTGACAAGATGAAAGATCCACTGTGCACGCTGATGAAAACTATCCCGAAAGAGTGGTTTTCTGCATCCATCAGTAAGTTACCAGAAAGATGGCAATGGTACGCTGACCTCAATGGGAAGTATCCAATCACTTCTGAACTATCATACATAATGTTAGGATCATGAACTCCCAACCAAACAGGTTACAGACTTGCTATAGCATAATTACTGGTGAGAAAAAATTAACAGGTCTATGAAAATTGGTTAATGGATTAAAAAATTACAAGGGAATACAGATACATGTCTAGACTATCATATGATATGTAAAGTTTAGGTTACAAAATATTTATAAAAATCTACATGTCTAGACTATCATATGAAATGTAAAGTTTAGGTTACAAAATATTTACATTACACGTGTGTCATTATACATACAATTAGATTTTGCAGGCACTCCAGGTAAGCAAACAGGGATGAACAACTTTTTGTCCACTGGAACAAATATAAGAATTAAACAATGAAAACCAATTTATGTTACAATTTGACATACATGAATTAGGTGTAAAAATATATAAGTGAGCTGTAGGTTATTTGAGAATGCTGTATTAACTGAATTTGCAGTGTCAAATGAGACATGAATAAGTCACCGGGGATTTGTATCTGTGATCTGTTTGAAAGTATTATCCAGTGTTCACATAATGAAATCTAGGAAATACTTTAGCCAACACAGTCAAAATTCAGATACGGTATGTTCTAAGCATAGAACAGAAATGAAGCTATATACCAAGATGAACCTGTAACACACCAAACACCCATTTTTATTCTGAATTTTCTTACAGAAGTTGCTTACAATATACACTCATCTCTGGCAGCACAACTGGCACCAACAGAAATGTGATAACTGAGACTGGCAGAGAACCCTAATAAATTCATAGAAAAGCATGAAAAATACTTCATACTCTGTTTTTAAACATTAAAGTCTTACTGAATTACATCAAAGGATTCAAAAGGAATATTTCAATGCAGGTTGCCACAAAAAATAGTAATAATACCTAACAACTACAAATTACATTTGCCACTGCACTAATCCAGCGCCATAAACAGTAATATTAAACTGGACCTCAGAGAATCAGTTTGTAATAATGTAAATTAAATTACACTGGCTACATAAATTTCTTCCATAATTATAATAAAAGTGTCCATTAGCTTGTGTTCTGTGTAGTATTTTAGAAACCTTGAACAGCTGAACAGACACATTCCATACTGAAGTTGTACAATGGTATGTGACTGTTATCCACTTCATCTCCCTTCGGAACCATTTTGAGGCTTTAGAGATGCTACATAAACATATTCCTTGTGAGGACAAGGATGGTTCTTGAAACATCGGTGTTTTCATCATTAAGTCACCTTACCCAGCTGGTAGCCTGAGAAGAATTTATTATACCTAGATCCAAGGCTTTCTGAACAAGGGGTCCAGCATTATAATAGTTTCTGGATATAAGGAATCGGCTATCAGACAGCTACCTAGAGGTGAAAATCATAATAAAAATAGAAAATCCACCCAATCACCTCATTTAGATTCTTTTCATGTCCTTGAAGAATAACACTCAGTTCCCATGAGCACCTGATTGACAGATCATTCAAGAATGGGTAATGTGGTACGTGCAGACAGATGTAGAATTCTTCACTCTGTAAACAAAGACACACTATCTCAAACAAACTCTAAATACATTCCTAGTAGTAGCACATACAATAAGGGTACAGAGGTTATCAAAAGATGAAACTTTGTTTACAATTTACAACACTTAGGCAGATATTTAAATTTCTACATGTTCCCAGCATTATTAACAAATCATGGAAGTAACAAGCACAGAAGGATGTAGATTAGCAGCCAGCAGTATTCTTTGCACCGAATTAAAATTTTGACAAATTTAAAAAAAAAATACATAACATAATATACAGACTTCATCAAGATCAATACTTTTATTTTAAATATTTTATTATAAGAAAAACACAAACATGATTTTGCCCTTATACGAAGTACAAGAGCAAATTCTAATTGTGGTATTCTGAATTGCAATGCTTTGTACTGTCGTCAGTGGTTACCAACATTTCAGAGGAATGTATCACCACCATCTTGTGCCACCATAAAAGTGATAACAAAAAATATTAAAAAAAGTCAAGTGTTCATGACACTGTTCAGTGTAAGCTTCTCACAACCACTATATTTCAAGCAGAAGTATTATGTGTTTCATAATGCAATTGGATCCCTGTAGAATGTTCATTTTATACATATATACAGACAGCATGATTCAATCATTTTGGTATGTTTGGAAAAATATTACCTTTCCGAATGATGCCAGTGATGTATGAATTGTCTGAGTCAATGAATAAATAACCTTTATATGGGCAGTATTTCTGCCACATGACTGGCTGCATCATGAAATCATAACAGAGGGTTCCTCAAGAATTTCCCCATGTCATAACACAGCTTTCAGAGGATTCTCCATCCAGTCACTTTCACCCACAGAAATACACATGAAGTCTGATTTCTTTAGAATGTAAATGCATAAACAAATTTTTGTACAACTATGTTTATTGCTTCCCAAGTTGTACATGTGAATAGAAAGGGAGACGGAGAGACAGAGTTAACAGATGCATTTTTGCAACTTTTAGTTGTGAACATGCCTTGATATAAACTGGACAGCTCTTAATTATTAGGCCCAACTTGTATTCCAGAAGAACCAGGTTTGATACCTAACTGGCACCACCTTATCTGCCTTAAGATTCCTCATTATCTACAAAAAAATGGTAGATTGTAATATACAATAGTACTGAATAACAACTTTACAATGACCCTACATTTAAGCCTGTTTATCCAACATCCTGATGCCTTAATATACAATCAAATTTATCACAGATTTTGTTTTATTTAAGCTTCCTATGCCCAAAATAAACATAAAATAACAAATTAAATCAAATTTATCTAACCTTACATAACTTTATGTGTAATCAAGCTTTGATTTATCAGAAAAATATAAAAGTATGTACAAACACAGATAAAGAAGGCAATTTTAACTTCATTACAGTATAACTAAGAAAATGCTAAAAAAACAATGTATCTATGTTAAAACACTGCGACACTGGCACTTTAAAAAGCACAGAGACTCCACCCTATCTCAACAATGTAAGTAATTTGTAATTAAAGCCTTACACAGGAAGTGTATGGGAATAAATAATTTTAATTTTAATGTACACTGTCTTCCTTTGCAAAAGGTTATGTAATTAAGGGGTGGAGAGCCTCTTGTAGATTTATATTCCTGCATAGCATTAATCTTCTTGATAAGACTGTAAAGTTAGCAATTACTCTTGAATAACTCACTTTTATACTCACTCTTAGAATACTTACCCCTGCTTGAATAAAACCTTTGTACAGTGTAAAATCTCTGTTCTGAGGAACAACAAGGGGAAACTTTTTCAGAACAAGCAATTGGTCATTCATTCCAATTCATCTGCTCCAGTTTCCGCCATATAACGTTTAAATCGGCCAGTACTGTAAACGCCAACCATACACTCCTACACATACGTCATATATGATCTGTAATGGTATATTTCACGGATGTTCATGATATTTAAAGAATCGAAAAACACATTACATACAGATACTGAAAGCGTGATGTGTTCATACACAGCAGATGTGACGTTCAGTGCAATCATCTTCCACAGTATACTGATAAGTCAAATCCAGAACGATAAATCATATTTTAATTAAATGTATAGCACGGAACTTTGCAAGAAAATGTAAAATCACCTCGATTTTTACTTAACTCGGAAAATTTCAACGGCCATGGGAAACATAAATATTGTTTGAGTTTATCTAAAATACTTGCTTCTAAATTGCACATTTTTCTGGTGTATTTGGATAAATAGGATTTGAGGTTCTCACGACGGTGAGAACGAAGACGGTTGTCTTCTGTGTTATAGCACCGTGTAGTCTGTCAGGAGAAGTCCCTGCTGCCTTTATCATCAGGGCAATGATGGAGTGAGGACCGCAAAACTTCCAACAGACTACACGGTGCTACAACCCACAAGACTTCATACATGGATAAACATGAAAAATGAATTGCATCATAGATATTAGCTTACTTAGATAAATATTCACTACAGTATTAAGTAATTTAATTTCTTTGGTGGGAACAAAGATGACATCATGCTCAGCTCTGTTAAATTTTCGTTCTACATTTGTACACAACATACAACCACTGTGAGCGAGCAACTGCTGTGTTTCGGTAAATGTTACGTGACAGATCGGTTAACAATCGCCGCCAAGAGATGGCGCAGTGATGCTAAACTCGCCAGCAAATTTAGTAAAAAAACAAATAGAGACGACCAGTTCGGGCAGGCTTATTAGAAATCACGTGATCAAAGTGGTAGCCGAGCAGAAGAGGTAAGCCATTTTGGTTTCGAACATGGCGTCGTCTGATATTATTACAGAAGTGGAAATACATCCAGATATTCAGGAAGTTGAAATTGAAGCAATACCTGTGGAAATTCCATGCGAAACTGTGGAAACAACAATAGATGGTGTGGAAGGACAGCCTATGATTGCATTACAGCCTCTACCAGAGCCTGGACGAGAGGAAATTATTTTACAAACGCAAGAAGAAATTGTTGGCAGTGGGGATCCTTTATCAGTTTATGATCAAATACCAGTTCCATCGGAAAGTGACATATATGTTGAATCAAGTCCAGGACCATCTCGAAGAGGAAGTCGTAAAACAAGGAGAGGTGGAAAAATGCGTGGGAATGATCACATTATTAGCGAGATCGCAGAAACTAAAACACGCAAATGGGAACAAAAACAAGTTCAGATTAAAACATTGGAGGGTGAATTCTCCGTGACGATGTGGGCTTCAGGAACAGATGATGGTAAGAATTATGACATTATTTTTAACATGTTATTTCCATGTGTTTTTAAAGTTGTGTGCATGAACCAATCTGTCTATTTTTGTATAGCGTCATTTTCGTACGATGCCAGCTAATGTACGTCATCGCACCTACATCCGGGAGTGACGATCGATAAGGGGCTAGTATTGCTGTAGTACTTGCAACTTTTGATGTCGATGTTTCATTTTAATAACGTTATAAATGTAAATATTTTGGTTTGTTTTGATACCTAGCCGGCCATGAATGTTCCAAGGGCGCAGCCATATTTTACAAATGGCTTCTCTTATATGATGGCGGATGGTAGCCATTTTTGTAGAGACGTTCGTAGAGAGTCATTCAGCTAGTGACGTTGTTTTTAGTTTTTCGAGATAAATGTGTAATTTGAGACTGAATAATTGTGTTAAATTGAGAAGTGCTTAAATTTAAGTTTTGATTATGCTGAAATCTGATGTTTTTATGTGGAATTGTGCTGTGAATACAGTTATGCATTTCTGGCCTCTTTGTCCTTCATGGCCAACAACAGTTAATATGGAAGACGGAGTAGGATCGATTGCGGCGCTGGTATCTGACGGAATTTTTAGGAACCTGTACAGAGGTTCTTGCAGTTGTAGTGATCAGAGGTAGAGATGTCAGTAGTAAATATTTTGCTATGACGTAATATTGTGTAACCAATGCTTGATGTTCAGCAGAAGCTCCAAAAATTTAAAATACAAAATGTTTTGATGATCATATTTAAAAGCATTTGTTATGTGTCTTTGCATGAAGAGTGAATTTGTTTTGACTTATTTGTGATTTACATTGCCCTTCAAAAAGCATATATTTATGTTATGTACAGATGAAGGAAGTAACCCTGACCCTGATCCAGACTATGAAGAGTATATGACTGGCAAGCGAATTCCAACAGAAGGGATTCCTGGTCTTGATTTAAGTGATCCAAAGCAGCTTGCAGAGTTTGCAAGGTATAGAATAGAATCAAATTTAATTTATTTACATTCCTTGGATCCTTCATGGTATAACCCAAGGATATGTTCCATATCCTAATAGGAATGTAAACATTTGATGTAATTACAGTACAAATGTAATGTATAGTTTTTACATCTTTGTAATTAAATATTTATAATTTTTAATAATTCTCAGTTTCAGTTCTTTTAAAGAGTAAGACTGATATAAAAAGATAATCTTTCAGTACTGGCTTAAATACTTCCATATCACGATTTAAACTTTTATTGCTGAATGGAAGTGTTAAATAACTTGATCTTTGCATAGTAAGCAACTTTCTGTTAACTAGTGGGCCATGTTTATATTTTGTGTTTATATAATGCATCTCAAAATTGTACTGAGTGTGTCAGACTTCGTTTGAAACTTCTCCAAGGAGATTATAAGCAACAATAATGAGAGTGAGAATTCACTTACTGGGCGAAGTATGTTAAAATTCTTAGTTTTCTATGAGAAACTTTTTTAACACCTTTCCATTATTTTAATGATTTTGATAATTTCTCTTCTGCTGTCATTATCCCATTAAGGTAACTGCATATGACAGGAGTATTGAATGTCTGATATGCAGTTGGTAATACTTTGCTGTATGCATAATGATTCTAGGCCTGGCCACAAGATGAAAGTAAAGAAGCAGATGAGTGATGGAGTAGACAGGACAATAGCGTGTCCGCATAAGGGCTGCACCAAAATGTTTCGTGATAATTCAGCAATGAGGAAACATCTTCATACTCATGGACCTCGGGTTCATGTGTGTGCTGAATGTGGCAAGGCATTTGTGGAGAGTTCAAAGTTGAAACGACACCAGTTGGTCCACACTGGGGAGAAACCCTTCCAGGTAGATATTTATGTTCTGGGTAAAACTGAAAACTGGGAACTTGGTTATGCGTATTGTAAAGTAATATTTAAATTTTAATGGCAGCTCTGCAGGGTCACCAGAAAAAGGTGCAGTCATTTTAAATGCCTGAAGTATTTCACAAAACATATTGCTTTCTATTGAAACTGTGATTTCTGCCTTCAGTTCTTCCATTTGTGTTTCTTCATTTTCCTTCAAGAATCCCCATAAGAGTTAATTATAGGGATTAAATTCCAGAGGATCTGGTGGCCAAGACCATCCAAATCATCTGGGTTATTGATTGATCAGTCATGAAGTTTATTGCTCAGGAAATGAAGAACCACTTTGCCATGTGTGGTCTTGCTCTCTCTTTTTGGAGAAACATTTTCCATATTCATTCCCATGCCTTGAAGAGTTGAAACAGAGTGGTCTCAAAAGAGGCTTTTTTAGTGGTCAGCATTCACTCTCTCTTCAGGATGATTGGTCTGAAATACCACATTACACTGTGCACTTTATGGATGCAAAGGTAATGTCATGACTGGGGATTTTGAGAACCCAATATTAGCATGTTCTGTTCAATGGCGTACGTGTGTATTTTAGATGGTAGTATGTTCCATTTGTGATTGGAATGCTATCAGTATACTGTTGTCTGTCATTTGTTGTTATTACAAACTTCTTTCTGCCAGTAACACTATTGTCATTGCCTATTGCAGCACGAGTCTCTTCAAACTTTGTTTACTGACCTTAATTCCTGACCTTGGGCCTTTTTTTGGCAGTTAAGTCTCACATGAAACTCGTTGCTGCTTTATAATAACACTACAGCCTTTTCCGATAATACACGGTGTTCAAAAGTGTATACGCATTATAATAACACTACAGTCTTTTCAGATAATACACGGTGTTCAAAAGTGTATACTGCCTTATTCACAGCTGCTTAAAGACTTTTCTGTTAGGAGGTATTATTAGTCGGTAACAAACTCCCAACAATTTATGCATCATATAACACCAGTTTTGTTGATTTCGCCGTAGCACATCAACAGATGTCTGAGGCGTGGGCCTTCTGCTACTTGGTCGCTGGGACCATGGGTTCAAATCCCACTCAAGCCATGGATGCTTGTCCGCGTTTTTCTGTGTTGTGCTGTCCTGTGTACAGGTAGAGGCCTTACGACAGGCCAATCCCTCGTCCAAGGAGTCCTACCGAATGTCTATAGAACAAGCCAGCGAAAAGTTGGGACCCGCAGTGCTCAGGCACTTGAAGAACGGGTCATTCCCAGTATCCCATTATTTAAATATATGTCTAATGGTTATTGCAGAAATCTGTTGATTTGTATTCTTAAGGTACTGGATCCAAAGTTACAAGGCATCCCACACCATGTGGCTCAACGCGTCATTGAATCTGCCACTGCCGTCGGCCCACGCGGTAACAAAAGTGTTCTTAAGATTTTATGTCGGAATCGGAGTCGGTACATTTTTACCGACTCCACAGCCCTGGTATGAACCCATGCATCATGTTCACTATCTTTCATTAAACTCCATGGCCTGCAGAGGTAAATGCCAGAATACAGACAGACCCCCATTATAGTGCCACACACTGTCATCCCCAATATTGATGTTAAAGTGAGGGTGGCAGTAAATCGGATTTTCGTGTTTGAGTATATCTTTATTTATTAATGTATTAAAGTGTCATATGGCGTGTGAAATACAATAGTTTGGATCTTCAGGGTAGAAGATAAGAAAAAATTGAACTTAATGGTTTCTGTAATAGGACACTTTTATTCAGTATTCATCTTTCCTAATATGTCTCCCTTTTTTATTTATTTATAGAAAATATGTACCATTTTTACTGTACACAATTTGTTACACCCGTCTGGCATTGAGCTACTTTTGCTTATTCCTTGATATCATTTGCCGCTCTATTTTCACATTCACTTTTCCTGTCCACGTAATATGTTGGCAGGTGGCGACAAGCTGGGGTGTTTTTTTTACTGGGGATTCCTTTTAAAATTGCATAGGGAATTTCTGTTCCAACGCTATTGTGGGTGTGGCAGTATACAGCGGGGCACTGTACTGCAGTTTGAATATAGTTCCTTGAAATAACACACAGCTGCATCCTCAATCCTTTCTGTTTCCTGTATATAATGGTCTCCTTTCCATCTCATGAACATTTAGGTACCTTTGCACTTGATGGGGCATTGTTAAATAACATGCACATCAACTACAAATAGCAAAATGGATTTTGTTCATCAAGTCTTTATTCAAAGTCCATTCATTTTCATTAACCGCAGTTCCTGTTCTTTGCATACCTTATCTCAAATTAAGACATTGTATTGACCTTTAGAGCTTAATTTCTGTAAGGGTGGTTTGTATAATTTTCTTTGGGTATTATCCCACTTTTTTCAGTGCACATTTGAAGGATGCGGAAAACGGTTTTCACTGGACTTCAATTTACGAACGCACGTCCGTATCCACACAGGGGACCGTCCATATGTATGCCCATTTGATGGCTGCAACAAGAAATTTGCCCAATCAACAAATCTCAAATCACACATCCTCACACATGCCAAGGCCAAGTAAGTTATATCATTGTTAGAGGGTCTAGTAGGATTTTCAGGTTATTGTACTTTGGGTTCTGCGTATGATCTGTGCCATCTGTCTGTTGGCACACTTTCATGCAGTAAAGCTTTTTGCTCAAATTTGCCTGCCATATTCAGTGTTGATTTGTAGAGGTAATTTACTCCTGTTCATATTAACACCACATTTGTATGTGTAAAGTACTGCTGTATGCATGCCCAATTATGATATGCAGTCAACATCTTAAGGAAGGTGGAGATTAAATTCTGGTATTAAATTAAGAGGGAACAGAAATTTATTTAACATGAGGGTGGTTCAAATTAAACCTTTTTGTATTGCTGCTAGCAAATACAGCTATGTAAGATTTGAGGTTTTCACAGCAGTGAGTATGAAGATTTCTGTCTTCTGAGTTGTTGCGCTGTGTAGTCTGGTCAATGTTAACCAACGTTTCAGAGGTCATACTGCCTCCGTCATCAGGGCGATGAATATGCCAATAGGGTGTGTGGGGCTAGGTTTATAGGTGCCAGAATGTGAATGGAGTAGCCTGCCCTGAGCCAATAGGAGCGCGTGGGTGAGTGTGAGAGAGGGAGAGAAAGGAAAAAGAGAGGGGGGTTCGGGAAGTGCGTCTGGTGGGACATCGGGAGTTCGGTTGAAAAATCTGCGGTTGCTGAACATCGCTTCAACATGGGACACTGCATACAGTTCGGGGACACTTCTATCCTCTCCACAAAAAACGGCTACATGGATCGGATAATCAGGGAAGCCATCGAGATTGAATTACATCCCGATAACTCCAACAAGGAAGATGGACTTCACCTGAGCCAGTCCTAGAAGCCTGTTATTCACACTCTTCGAGGACTTCGAGAGCGAGCAAGAGTGCATCGCCAGAACCAACCAGACCACTAACCTGGCCCTCTTCAGGGCCCCGATCACATTCAACCAAACTCCCGATGTCCCACCGGACGCACTTCCCTAGCGCCCCCCCATCTCTCACTCTCGCCCACACACTCTTATTGGTCCACTCCCACTCCTGCTCCCATTGGCTCAAGGCAGGCTACTCCATTCACATTTCGGCACCTATAAACCTAGCCCCACACACCCTATTGGCATATTCATCGCCCTGATGTGAGGCAGTATGACCTCTGAAATGTTGGTAAACATTGACCAGACTACACAGCGCAACAACCCAGAAGACAGAAATCCAAATACAGCTAGTTACACATGATAGGCAGTTTAATGTAGTTGACCATTTGTGGAACAGAATGAGCATATCAGTCGGAGGAAACAGGAACACTGTGCCCGTTAAATGCTGGGCATTCCAGGTGTGGATTTTATCCAAACAGGATGAACAACCTCTCATATAGTCACTTGGTGCTGAGGGAGAATGTTTGCTGCATCCTGTCATGTTCTTGAGAGGTGTTGTCATGTTGCAGGACAACTCTTATCCTCATGTGGCCTGCGCTATCCAGGACACTGCACTTAATGTGCTGGAAGGTGTTGGGCTATCCCCTTTTTAGTTCAAACATGTCGTTGTTTAACTTCCATGTCTTAATTCCCCATACTGAAGTGCTAAAGAGCAGACAAAGATGTCTTGGTCACAGTGGTTCCAGCAGCAACCCAGGAAGTCTTTTTGTAGAGGGAATCAATTGGCTGTGCGTCAATGGGATGCCTGCCTCGACAGCTAAGAGCACTATTTTTAACGTCTTGTACTCGTTTGCCCAAAACAATGCGCATTTGTCTGTACTTCTTGGTGTAATAAAGTTGTGTCTGTTGACTGAATTGCTAAAAAATATATATTTTCTTCCCATTGCAGATCACGCAATGCTATGAGTCGTTCAGTGCCTACAATTCATGCACAACCACTGCAGCCACCACAGTTTGTGCAGGTTGAGGTATCTGATGCAGACAACCAACAGTTCATTGTTTATGCAGACTAGACACTCTTTTTCCGTTCATGCCTTTGTATTGGTTGGTTAGGGTAATATGTCTGCTACTGTATGACTTGTTTTGTTGAGTGTTGTCAAGTTCCACCCCGTGCAAGTTAAGTGAAGCAAGATAGCATTTCAAGACTTTTCAAGCACTGCAAGTTTAGCAGTCAAATACAATGCTGATGTAGTGGTGTTTGGTGAAAGAGGTACAAAAATTATATATTCGATACAAGGTGAAAGAGTTAACAAATATTACATTAAGTACAAGGTACAAAAACATAAGAGCTTACTATGTTTGCCATATGAAAGATTGAACATGAGAACCATGTCTTCATATGTAACCCATCCACAGGGTTTGGATTGGTGGATGTACATTTTAACTCATCTTTTAGTTACAAAGTAGTAGCGATACTGGCAGGAGTAATTGTATTTAATGATGGCCCGTTGTGCCATGTATTAAACTTGATCCAAATGATTGTAAACAACATGTTGAGAAGTACCATCATATTTTTAAAATCTGGTTTCATCTGATTAGTTTAAAAAGTGGTAAGTTGCAGTGCCCAGCTTTCAAAACAGCACTGTGCATGGTGTTTGGGCCTTGACTGGAATCAAGCAAGAACCAGGAAGAATTATAGCCGTGATACTGCTCTATTTCATCAAAATGGTAAGGGCTCGGCCACGTATACACACAGCCGTACTTTTATATTCATTGAGGACACATCGTAAGGCAGTTGTGTGCATTTGGTAATTGTATTCCAGATATAATGTTGCACATAATGATCCCTTAGTATTTTTAAAAAGAAAACTGGTGTTTTTTCCAGCATTGCCTTTTCCAGAACTTAGGTTTTTGGTTTCTTGTAACTATGTATTGTACATATAATTGAGAACAGTATGAGTGTTATATGTAATTAACAAGTACATGCAATTTATTTTGTCCTTTCCAGTGAGTCATCATATAGAGGTATTTATGTTGTGTTACAGTAGCAACATTTTCATGCTTATTAACATATTTTACTCACACTAATATAGTTTATTTTATTGCTATATAAATAGACATATCGGTTATGATGCCGTTTATACTGATGTGGAATGCAATGTACCATATTTATTTGAATACCACTTGTATTCTGTTTTCATTGCTGTATTGCTTGTTACCACTTCATAGATGTACTATATTTTTTTTTTTCCACCATGTAACAAAACTTGGCCCTTTCACCAGTGGTAAAGATGTGCCAACATTCAGAATCACAGAAATTCTTCAAAAAAATTCACTGTAAGAATTTTAAATTACAAACTGCATGAGGTCAAGTCAGTCTCTGGCAGAGAATTGTTATGCTGTATAAGGCAATATAAAATATCTCACAAGAGTAGGGGTTTGTCTTCACTCTTGCCAAATCAAATTCTGATTATAAATATGTTTGATTGTGGTATGGGTGTAGGTACCAACTGCACAAATATCCCTCCGGGAGTGGTGTTCCGATAAACATGGTATTTAACCTTTGTATATTCATTTTATCCTATGTATGATTAAATTAGAATAATTAGACATTGTTGATAACAGCGAATAATCAGAGGTTAGTAACATCATTTATCTTCTTTCATCTTTAACACACATCTTTTGTTATCTCTTTTTGGAGGTGGTGTAGCTACAAGGAAAAAATGAGTAATTGCCCAAATGCAGGATTTTTTAAAGAGAGAGTTTATTTACTTGTCTGGTGTAGTTGACATGTTTGTTTCATGTAGTGATCACAGTTATGTTAACAGATCTTTCAGCACTAGATATTCTTAAAGATATATATTAAATGTGTATATTTCATTATTTGCATTCACTGATACATATTCAATAAATAAGTATTGGAAATCAATTTTTGTCTTTAAAGAATGGTATTCTCCAATTTAATTCCTCAGTGTGGTAGAACTTTCACCTCAGAAGTTAATAATGGCATGTGTGGAAATGTTAATATTAACTCTTGAAACAAAGACACATATAACAAGTATCTTTTCCGCACCTGGGTTTTAGTTGAATGAAATTGTTCTGAAATAATGTGTTTTATAAACAGGTTAAACGATAACAGAGAACCTAACCTCTTGACTGATGCATATGGATTTATTCTTTCCTTCATAAATAACAGGTTCTAGCAAGGAGTTGTGGATATTACTGTTTTCCTACTAACAGCCCTACAAATCATTTTATATGTTTATATTTGTATTTAGGTAATGTAACATTATAGTCCAACAAGAAAACTGAAATTAGCTCATGGATTAGTGTGCTGGGCTCATGCATATGTAATCATAGGATCAAATCCTTGAGTACAGATTCTCATATTGCTTTAAGTTAGATTGTTGCAAATGTTATTATTAGTAATAACATTTTCCTTTTGAGAAGAATTTACTGCCTACAGATTCTGTCTATCAAATTTGTAGGTTATAACATCACAGGAAAGTTTTACACTGTCTTGTTTGTAATTACTGGTTTATAGAAAATATTTATTGCATAATTTATGTGAGTGGTCATAGTCCATCTTAATTCAAAATTTCATGCTCCTAGCTCCACTACTTTATTAGTTATCATCAGACCTGGAAGCTAAATTAAAATGTTTATGTGACTGCCATATTTTATACATTCTAGGGAAAACATGCCTTAACAAAATTAAGTTTCTTATTGTATGTCATTTCAGAACCCTGTGTTTCATTATGCTTGTGTTGCTTCTTCCTCAGTTTTTGTTTGCAATGTTATAATTTCTGACTGAAGGTCATTAAGAAGTATTAGTGTTGCCCTCCAGTGACATGAAATTTGTATCATATTTTGTGAAAATTGGTCAGCTGGTTCTAAGGTTGAAAGGGGAACACAACAAATACAAACTGTGTAGTGATTTCGTAAGCCTTCTTCTTTCCACATGAAAGGAAAGTAGGCTGTAAACAAAGAAGATGTGACACCATGCATGGTAATGTATATACAACTACTCAGTGAATCGCTTTGCATGGTAAACCCCCAGCTAGTTTGTCAAGCAATAAAACCAGTACTTATTACTTTTGAAAACCACCAACTAGATAGGACAGAAAGATGGAAAGTGCAGCCAGAAGGATTTTATATTAAGGATGAATGAATTACTGTACTTTGAAACCTCTTGTTTGTCTACAAGTGTGAGAATTTATGTTTGTCCACAAAAGAGGTGTGTCCATAGTTATGAAGACATGTTTCCAATCTGAATGTTTCCCCTTAAAGGAAAGGCTACTATAACAGTTTAGTTACAATGAAATATGAAATGTTTACTTATATGTTTTAATACTGGCCTTGAATATCACAATTTCCAAACACAGATTGAGGTGTCTGAAAATGGTGCTTAGAGAATATTCAGAGCTAAGACAGGAAGTAACAGGTGAACAGAGAGAAATGCATAATAATATCATCATAACTTGTATTCTCCAAATATTAGGATGGTTAAGTCAAGGAGGATGAGATGAAAAGCACATTTTTAGTCTGAAAAATGGAGGGGCAGGGCTCTAGGGAACATCAGTATAAAGGTCAATATTAAAATGGATCTTAGAAATAGGGTTCATTGATGTGAACTGGACATACCTCGTTCAGGATAGGTACCAATGGTAGGCTTTTGAGAACATGTTAACAAATTTCTGGGCTTCAGCAGTTAATAACTTCTAAATAAGTGTCTGTATGGAATTGATACTGTGGTAGCATTATTCCTGTTCTAAATATGAATAAATTATTCATTGAGATTAACCCTTCGAATCTGAAGCTTGTCTAAATATTATGTATTAAGTGTGTACTGCAAAGAAGATAACCTGTCACCATTTCAAAAGTCAACTGGTTAATGCTGTTTAAGGAAATATTCCCTGTTTATTCTGACAATCATACAAAATGCAGAGTTACTGAATATAAAGCAGGAGGTAAATATAATTGCCAGTTGGCTGTAAAAGGTTAAAATAAAATTGACAATAACATACATGCAGTTCCACAGTGTTTTGCTTTGGTATCATACCTTTCTTCTTGCATGTTTGCAACCTTGTGAAATACTTATGAAAAGTTAAAATCACTCTGTCCATACACATAAGTAGCTCAATGGACAAATTGGTTCTGGTTAAATTTGATATTGAAAAATTTTATCAAAAACAGTCAAGAAATTAAAATTATCAGCAAGATGGTATCATTTTAATGGCCACTTTACATAAGAGCATAATATCTTTTCAGCTTATCTTAATAAATACTTGTGCAAAATGGATTTTTAGCTTGCTAGGATAAATATTCACAACACAATTCCAAGACTACCTACAACATGAATACTTCTTTCAGTAGTTGCTTCTTGTAATCTTATCACAGTAGGTTAATCTACATGGAACCAAATGTTTAAATTGTTTTAGCAGAAGATTGCAATTAATAAGAAAACAGGTCTTGACTGAGTTTAGGCAGCATTGAGATTAGATCTGTTTTATATTGTTGCTTTAGCACTCTGTTACAGTACAACTTTGAAGCTTGTATAAAACAAGTTAAGCATATTTAACTTTCATGTAGTTTTTGTAATAACAGTGAACAGTGAAGTTTTGGTATTGATTGCTTATTCATGAAGTATAGTAATAAATACCATTTTCATAGCAACTGATCTGCATAGATAACTTTATGAAAGTTACTTCAGTTACCACAAACGTTTATGGGCTCAGTTGTAAGGACAGACCTCATAATGGGCTGTTAGATTTTTAAACTATTGTCCCATCACAATTATTGTCTATCCTGAATTAAAGTATTACGAATCAAGCTTGGTGTCACAAGTATATATTTTGCTGCAGTGTAAGGAATATGTTCACTCTAAAAACTTTTCCTATTATCAAAATCAATGAAGTTAGTTAGCACATATTTGTACAATATTTATGTCTTGTTATATGTAGATTCTCTTAATGATTTGAAGATTAAAGATGTGCTTCTGTAGTAATTTCCTGCTTATATTTCACTCCTGTCTCCATCCAGTTTCTAAAGTAAGACTACCAGAACTATGGAATATCAGTTCCCTTTATCAAATTAGCTATACTTTATTTTCTTGTAATTTGAACAGCATGGATCTTATATGTTGTTTATAATTCCTTCAGAATGTACCTGCTAATTGTAAAATGAAAATTTTAGAGAGAAGATGGCTGTCTTTTGGGTTATTGCGCCATGTTGTCTGGTAGAAGTTTATGTTTCAGAGGTTCATACTACCTGCATCATCAGGGCGACAGCCATCTTCAAACTTGTTGTCATGAAAACCTCAAATTCTCTAAATTTTATTGTTTTTTGTGGTAAGTTTACCATGAAAATAAAATACACCCACAAGTCGTCATTACCAAAGAAAAAGCAATATCTGGCTTAGGGAACTTGACACTGCTAATATGCAACAAGGATTCTGGGCAGAACTCAAAACCTAATTTATAACTGCTGTTGCTTATTCAGGTGCCAGGTTCAAATCTCACCCAGACATTCTATTTTTCATAGTTTCCCTGAACTGGTGGATGATGGAATAGTACATTAAAGTGGGCTATAACTGCTTCCGTATAACCCTTTCCAATTGTTTAGTTTATTCCTATTATCATTCAATGCTATATAAATTTATCACAGACAGATAAATACATTTTTCACATGCACACTTTCACTCCTACAAATTCTGTGACGTTAGAGATGTGTAAAGAAAATGTAAGTACAGTAAAACCTCCATTAACCGACCCTCGATTATCCGACTCCCGCATTAACCGACCGAATTTCAACTATATCGGTTGCGATCAGTTTTTTCCGGCGAGGCGATAAACTGAGACCCGTGAGATGCCGTGCTATATGTGTTGTGTGGTGCTTTAGTGTACGTGGTTTGTTAATTTTTTCATCATCTATGATCACGCTTGACCATCGTGACCCCTTTTGGGGTTTTCTTGCGAAAGTACCTTGGGTGGGACTCGAACCCACGGTCGCAACGGCCAGGCGCACAAGGACCATGCCTCAGACATAGCCTTATTTGTAATTGTTGATTTAACATACATTTCATATATAATTTGTATCAATATTTATAATCTATCTTCATACAGTCTTCAATATTCACAGCTCCAATGAAAGGTTCCTTAATTACTGCTGTTTATCAGAAGCTAAATGAAAACTTTGATGTGGTCTTGATATTTTACATTATAAAAAACATTACCTTATAATGTTTCATATTTTTCAGATATCATACACTTTAGTGCCCTATATTAAGTGGAACTATTTTCCTTCTGACCCACAAGATTGTGTCCATGTTCTTACTGACTGTATAGAAAATAACAGTTGAGGTTGCCTCCAGTGGCATAACATTCACTAATTTTGAAAACTGTGGGATACACAATGGCGATCACATAAACCTACATTTTTAATAGATACAAGTAGAACATAATACCACAATGATTGCATACCAGCTGTACATATGGAAACAGCTGAAGTGCAATAACTTTTGGTTTAATGTAATGTCATAACCTGTATAATAGCAAGCACATTATTATTGAAACCCAGTCTTAATACCTCATCTAGACACGTTTTTTTCTTCATGGACCATGTATAGAATGTACCCCTCTGTACACTGGCCTCTCTCCTCAGCATCTTCCAGCCACTTGGTATAGGTCATGCCTGTTTCAACTTCATTCTTTTGTAATTTTCTCCATCTGACTGTTGGATCTCCCTATAATTGTTATGGATCAGGGTATGTTTTACATAATGAAACACCTTTATACATGTTGAACTGGACTCTGAACTGTGTTGAATTAGACTGTTTTTATTTAGAAAGTTATTCTCACTTTACTTACATTTTCTTTTTATGGAGAAATGAAGATATTTTTAAATAACAGTTAATTTGAAAAGTCAAGAAACTACACATCCATTAACCTCTTTATTTTAGTGTTATAAAATTATACATAATGCCACAAAAATAACAGCCAAAATTTAAAGTGTTCCCATGTATTTACATATAAAACAGTTGACAATTTATCGCATCATACCACACAACCACACATTTCAATAAATACATTACAATGGGCATTTTTACAGCTACATATTATCAACATCTTGAATGATAGGGTTTGTTTCCCATGAAATGAAACTGATAAACTAATTAATATATATGCAGTTACTACCCAATTCTAAAAAGTACATCTGATACCTGATATCTGCCCATAGTTATGTTTCAACTCATAAAATATAGCAACACATACATCCTTGCCCATTTATCACCTCGGGGTAGACTCCAGACTGGGAAACTTAAAAGAATTTTGTTTCCTAGGTTCTGATGCGTTTCAGTCAAAATGCATGAATCCTTACATGAAAAAGAAGCAACATAGTTGTACAAAGGCTGACATTTATGTCTTTTATTGTAAGGCTCCAAACATTCTGTTCAAATCATTAATTTACATTTCTGATATGGTTATATAGGTATAAGTTTGCTTACTTCTGTCGATCAGTCTTCTGCTTTATGCTGCATGGTCTTATAATTCCCCCAAAATTCTGGTCACAACTTACAAGACATAGTGGTCACATCTGAGAAGACCTGAAATATCACAAACATTCCCACTGCCATGAGAACCTCACATCTGACTGACTCCTTTCTCAGTGTTTATTTGTACAGATCCATTTCTGCTCACATGCAAGAACTGATGAAGGGAAAAAACCTACTCATCAGAATCAATGATAAAGCACCTATTCTAGCCAGTGAGAGGCTGTAGGTTCAGTTCTTGAATGGAGTAAAAACTATTAACTTCGAAGAGTTGATGTTAACAATATATAACTTAATAATTCATCATCTAAAGCAGGTTTGGGACATTGTGGTTTCATTCATCACCTACCATTGCTGCATTTTTCTCTTTTACTGTCTTCTACTGCAAGACTGGTTCCAATCTTTGAGTCTGAAATGTAATGATGAACACACATTAAAATACAGCCCTAGATTCAATACCAAGAGAACATGACCCAATCACTTCACCCTACTCTAGTGGATGACCAACCAAACATAATCCTTTATTTTGTGCATGTTGATGTATTTTTCATTTTAACGAGATGAAAGACCATCAACAAACCTGATATGTGAATGTATTATCTAAAAACTGCACGTTTCAACCCTTAGGTCATCAGGCGGACATAGAAAAGCCACAACATATATGGACTATATAATGGCTAATCACAGTGACCAAGTTACTCAAACAGTGGGATGGTGAGTTCAAATACCAATGTAGCTGTAGATATGTGTATGTGTCTTTCTGTGTTTTGTTGTCTTGTGTAGACAGATGCCTTGAAATGGGCCGATTCCCGGTCTGAGTCATAATCCTATCAAATAACAGAAAAGGTTCAAAAACCTGTCAGAAAAATTTTGAAGAATGGTCAAGGAAGGCGGTACACTATAATACCTAAACACACATATACAGAACATCCCAAAACAATGTATGAAATATTATCCTTGTTATCTCCCTGTGGTGACCAGAGAATTAGAATAGTCCCACCATAGCCTGCTGTAAGAGGCAACTAAAATGGGTACCCAGTGCCTGGTGGTATATAAATATGGAGGCCTGGTCCTCCAGGTTGGGGGTTGAGTGCAGGGTTAACAACCCCACCTCATAAAAAAACTACTGTTCAGAAACCTGAGGAATTAAGCCAGACTGCTCAAAGGAAATGACCATAGAAATGAAATAAGACCTTGATTTGAATTTGGAACATAAAAGCCCTTGGTATAAAAAGATGGACAATAAAATCACACGATAGGAATGAGCGGATGGCTATCAAGAGGGAGGCCAAGATTAAACTAAAAGGACCATGAAGCTACAAAAGAAGATTATCCTCGTTATCATTCTGTGTTTCCGAGGGGAACCTAGTATGGTCTACACTTAACAGATGGCCCTGCAATATCTTTTCCCATCATTCAGACTAATGGATAGGACACAGAGGATCTCCTGAGTACCTCTCATGATCGCCAGATTTAACCCCACCTGACATTTTCTTGTGGAGTTACTTGAAAGACTCAGTGTATAGCACAAAGCCAGCAACACTTCAAGACTGCTGGCTGAATGGTCTTGTGCAGCCATCCCAGCTGCAGCTTTAGTGGCTGCTTGTCAGTCAGTTGTTCACTGTTGTCAACCTATTTACTAAGTTAATGGTCATTTTAAACACCCACACTAGAGCTATTTACTAAGTGCCAATGCTAACATATGTAATGGTTTAGTTTATTAAAATGTCTTTATTTCATTTATGGAATGTGTGTAGACATGTTTTTAGGACACTGTATAACAAGCTATGTGTAATGAAATTTTGACCTACTTCTTAGTACTTCAATATGTTAATTTTATGTAAAATATTAACAGACTCCACATATTTATATGTGCATTTTTATTTATCATAATAAAATAACACAACCTGTAAGACCTACCTGAAATAGATCAATTTCAGTATGGTCTAAAGTCATTTACACACATATACTAATTCAGTAGTGGCTTTTCTGTATGAATAATCCATCTGATGATGACCTAAAGGTCAAAACACGTGGTGATGTTTTCATACAACAAACATAACCCATACATGAACAGACCTAATATAAAGTATACAACCACTACTTAGGAACACATCAAATTAAGTGTCTGTTACATGCATTTACCCTAGCCCCACATATGTAAAAACACACACAAGCCACAAAATGTGAATGTTGTACAGTAACCAGCTGTTATCTTATTTGTAAGTGCATTTCCCAAACATGCTTAAATTATGATATTGTACATACCAATTGTCCATGTAACAGATTAATTTCTTTCTCACTACATTACTACAGCCAATCAAATAAAAATGGTTTGACATTTATTACGCATACAATTCATAATTGCACAGTGTTTGTATCGAACAGGTACAGAATATCTTAAATCATATGTTTATGTCACACCCCGGATGGTGCGTTAGAGGACCACCCTGCACATTCAGTGTCAGACCCAGGAATGTGAGTCAGAAACATTTTTAATTTTATGCTTTTCTAAAACCGTACATAAGAAGTTTGTGATGTTAGGTACCCATTAATAAAATCTGGGTTGTTTTGAGTACTTTAATACACATTCAATCCTTATTTTCTGCCACATTTAAAGTAGTATTTCCTGAATGATAAGATTGTATACCACAATCTTCACACGAAACAGGTCCCATTTGTAACACAAATTAATATTATATAAATGCTAATACATAATTTCATTTGTCACTCATTCTGACACAATTTTCACAGTTTGCAAGTGATGTCCGCCTTGTGAGGAAGCATGAGGGAAAGGACTAATTACTGGCTCCTGATATCAGTATGTTTTAACTGCACTGAAAGAAATACAAATCTGGTGAGATGAAATGGTATAAATATACCTTGAAAACAGAAAATTCTAGAACTTATCAGAATAATTTTTCATATGTATAACAATTTTCAGGAATTCAAAATATTTATAGTATTTAACTTTAATATTACAAAACTTAATTATTCTGTTAATATTTCATGTAAATATATGTACTGGCACCCTTAAAATATGTATGTATATTCTCAAAATGTGAAAGTAGTTAAACGTTGTTTTATAAAAGCAAAGTGTAATCCAATTCAGCAGTTCCCAAGCTATGAAATAGGTGTTTTTATATATACAGATTCATTACAGCTTTGGTTCCATGGCACAAATGCAAATCAAGTAAGAATATGTACAGGTTCTGGATTTTGAACCAATCACAAGCTTAATGCCTTTGCTGCAAGTCACGGCAAATGATTTGTGCACGGATACTGCCAACACTAAACCCTATTGTTTATAATGAATTAAATAGTTGCAAAATGAAGTGAAATTCTCAGAAAGTAAAATAAGAAGAGTTAAACAACCAATACTCATATTAACCTTCAGTGAAAGCAACCAGAATGTATTCTTGAAACACAGGCACATGTACAGCAATTGGGGTATGATCTAAGATGGTAAAATGGCTACATCTATGAATAGTCATGGTGTTTTGTATGACAATTTCCACAGAACAACCTCAATGAAGACGACCTTTCAGAACACCAATGAAAAAATTAAATGATGCTATTTTAACAAGTCCTGAAGAAACAGATTTGAATGACATATATATATACATGACTGAGCTGGCTATTTTCTTATGATTAATCATCGTTAAATTGAAAAATTGTACCAAAATGTAGTTGATTTTAGTGAACTATGCACACATAAAGGAGTTTTGTACAAAAATGTAGTTGATGTTAGTTAACTATGCACACATAAAGGAGTAGTAATCTCCATGTTCAGTTTCTTCAATATAAATTTTGAGGTGCAATTTACAAAATTAATTTTCACAAAAAATATATGAAAATGTTTACCTTTCACATTACTGGTATTAATAAAATACTCTTGAGATCAGCATCCAGTTTACTGGCCCTCCTCTATGCCTCCTTTCTGCCAATCAAAAAATTTGGCACAACATTTAGTGTACTTCTGTGCATAATTTTTGGTTTAAGAGGAAGTAGAGTAAACGTTTCAGCCCACAAAAGTGAGCTGAGTATTTAATAATTCTTAGGGTTTTTAAACAGTAACACAGTGGTGACAACACACTATACTGAGTGAATGTTCAATGCCTTTGAATTTTTTTATGTTATGCAGCCCTGCATAACAACCATAATATTCTTACCTAAAACATTAGTCTTGATTTCATACTACAGTAGGCTTCTTCCTTCATTGCTCTGTTTCTTTTTCCTTCATCCTATTTCTTACGCCATATCTTCATATCTGAATGTGACTGTACTCCATTACAATCATACCAACAACTAGTCTGCTAATGCACAGCATACATTGCAGCGGCTCTATATTTCTATATCAAGTACTTAAAAGAGGACTAGCACAAGAGACTTCAATAGGTTGGACTGTTTAACATAACAAATTTGAAGACACAGAACATTCATCCTGTATATTGCGTTAAATATTCTAGAAATACAGAACGTTAAAACAACACTGTTAATTATAGAAACAAATGGTCATATTCTGAAAAATGAGTAAATAATATTACTGCATAATTGTGTGGTGAATCAAATAACAATATTACTTTATATCCCTGAACATTCTAGTCAAAACCTGTTGTCTTAAAATTACATCATTTTAATAAGAAGCCATGTATTGATACACAAATAACAGTTTGAGCCTTCTCCACCACATATCAGCAGTGCTTGAAGTGGGATTGAATTAGGAAGGATGTCACCATCTCACTGCAGATTCACCGGCTAAAACCATTGCAGTACTTTTATAGTTGCCTAGGACTGTGTAAAACAATCTCTCCCCATCTTTTAATTCCTTCTGCACCCTTAGAAATAATAGACTGTGGTCCAATGTCACAAATAAGTTCAAAAGAAAGTATTCTAAAACCTGTAAACAGTTTTTTTCATTCAGTACCATGACCAATGCAATGATGCGCTTTCCACAAGGAAAAGGTTAATAGAAATTCAGAACAGCTAAATTAATAGTGATGAATATGCTGGCCTAGTCTTATATAAGTAGTTCTGGGAAGAAGTTTTGACACCTTCTTCTCTTCACACATTTCAATCCACAGCATCTTCATAATCTTATAATAATTAAAGGCATAATATTAATTATTAATAATTATACAATGAATCATTTCTGAGCATACTTTTTACTAACACATTCCAATTATGTTAAACTTTGTCACAAATAACTTCAAAGTTCATACAAAAATTTGCGGGTCCATTTATTGCCATACAAAAAATCTCATGCCTACTCATTATTTATCACCACAGAGTTAAAAATTAAGTATCAGTTTCATGTAGCTAGAATTCTGTATTACACTCTACAAAAGATGCATATTATTTGATCCGCAGGTACCACCCAAAATTCAAAATCCTATATTAAATGTTGCCAGTCACTTTCACCTCATAGGTTCTACATGCCCACCATTTTGGTATTACTGTCAACAGGAAATAAATAGAAAATGAAGGATTTGATAAAAAAAAAGATAGGGTAGTTTCCAATGGTAAGATGCTCAGATTAAACTTCATAAGATCTGTAAACTGGATCAAAAGTGATTTGATGAAGTGGACATATAATATATAAGATATTGTAAATGCGTCATATTGTGATTCATAATATTAAAAATACATTAAAAATTTACCGTCAATCACAATTATAATAATGTTAAAAGATTAAAACATCATTTAATGTTCCTCATCGTAGTATTCGATTACAGGAACCTACACGACTAGTTTCGGCTACAATTTAGCCATCAACGGGTGTTATGTAGTATAAACCTATCACTAATTACTGATTTTTATTGTTCTCTATGTTTCACAGTCTTCAATAAATAAAAATCAGTAATTAGTGATAGGTTTATACTACATAACACCCGTTGATGGCTAAATTGTAGCCGAAACTAGTCGTGTAAGTTCCTGTAATCGAATACTACGATGAGGAACATTAAATGATGTTTTAATCTTTTAACATTATTATAATTGTGATTGACTGTAAATTTTTAATGGACATATAATGATAAGTTAGATTACTCATAACCCAATCAGGCCCCATCTTTTATTCAAAAGTTTCACAAACCATCCAACCACTCTTAATTACCTCAATTTTTTCACTGTCAACACAAAATACAACTGCTAAGGTTGTATGATGATTAGCACCATGATAGCATATCTTGTAAATAGTGAAAGAGTTAAAAAAGCTTATAAACCATCCTACTGTTTTCCTTCTCCCACTTTAAGCACTGCCTATAAGAAACCCTTGCAATTTAAACACATGGAGTTCTGGATCATGGCATCTTGACTAATTTGTTGTACCAAAGTCTTCTCACCATAATTTGCACCTCTGTTCAAAATATGTCTGCAAACTGTTAGTGCTGATGCCCCAATGTCAGAAACAGTGGCAACAGTGCACCAATAATTAGGAATGTGAGCTCAATTATGCGTAGTCCTTTTCTCTCAGATGTTTCAAGGATGGAACTTCCATGTGAGTGACCATTCTTGGATGTTAGCTCTGGTAGCACATGTACCGTTGCTACATATAAGAAGGTACCTGCACTAAATAACATTGCAATTCCAGTTGCATTTACAGATGAAAGTGTTTCTTTGCCTTCCTGAAATCAAATGAACATGACACATAATATTGCTTGTTGCAGAATATTCAGTATCATCAACATACAAAAGCGTCCTTTCACAAACTACATCTTGAAGGAAATTACCTATGTAAATTGACTCCTGTCCGTCAATAATTGTCTTTATTTTCATTTCAAATCAAAGGAACGTACATAGAGTAGAACATCGACACACAGTGCCTCAAACTAATCTAGGAACAAATGACCTGTCATATGGATTGAGTCCCAAAGACCTATTTGAAAAATGAGAAGACAGGCAATAAATATGGAGCGAGGGAAACACAGTGACTCAGAGGAAAATAATGATGCTTCCTACAGTGTTACCAACACTGAACAAAGTCCTGTACTGAAGTTATGATGTGAATGGAATGACAGACTGGCAGTGGACATCTTCAGTTATTACACCTGACCAGCATTGAGAATTACATACGGAAAGCAAATGCTGTTATCTAATCCAAGCACACGACTATTTCAGTGAGAAGGCATGAAATGTGAGTACTTTACAGAAATATGTATGAGGCATTTCCAAGAACATTCAAGCCTAGTTATTCTTCTTATATGGCTCTCTGGTCCTTATTTAGTCCATGGCCTCCTCAATTCTCCTCTTCCATTCAGTCCTCTGTTAGGTCCATCTGTCCAAGGCTTTGATTGACGTTCTGAAACATCTTCCTTTTTACGGTGCAAGGTTGTTAGCCTTGCGACCAACCCCCAACCTGGAGGACCAGGGTACCTGTCTTAGTCTGACCTCTCCCCCTCGACCAATCTGGCTAGGGAGGCCCTACCAGTAGCTATACTACTGCCAGCATAGCTCTTGGGATCACTGAGGTACTCAAGCCCCACCACCACAACAAGGTGCAGGTACCATTAAGTGGGGCCTAGTACCGACTTACTTTATCTTCAATGAACAGTCAATGTTTCAATAAGATTCTTTTCTCCAGTAATAATCCTTTTTGTCTTAATTAATTTATAATTCTATGAACAGCTTCTCAATGTGGAATTCTAATGGTCTAGAATTTATGTCAGTCGTTTCTCCTTACAGTTCTTGCAAAAACAATTTTCACATAAATTTTAAACACTCCATGTTCAAATGTTTGTTCTTACAAAAACAATTTTCACATGAATTTTAAACACTCCATGTTCAAATGTTTATCTCACATGTGGAGTTTTTGGCTCCAAAATAATGAGTGAGTGAAAGACTGCTTATTACACAGATCAAGCAAAGCATGAGTCAAAGCAACACGAAACTTCAAGGTGGTTAATCCATAATGCATAAGCTTAATTCATGCTTGAGTTGTCTAATCTCATCTTACCTGTCCTATGCCAAAAAAAGTAAGAAGTGCAAGGAGTGGAGCTGATAGTGAAAACACTAACAGGTGTCTCCTAATACGGTTTCGATCCAAGCCCTCATGAAGTAAGAATGTGACTAATCCAAAGGCTGCTGGAGCCTAAAACATAAAGACGCTAGATTAGTATGTTCTCTTCAGTGTTCAAGGAGTTTAATACAATACTGTACCTCTTCCAAAAGTTTGAAATCATACTAAGTCTTGTGTCCAAAATATGTGTTTCTTGTTATCCGTATTTCATGTGTATCATAAACTTCTCAGTCCAGTGTAGTTAAGGGATTTTAATTCTCCAAATTATTAAGCATAATGGTGAATTTCAAACAAGTATAACGTCTGAACAAAAAGTTACAGAAATAATTTCTGGAGGGAAATATGGAGTGCTAATCCAATTCATTGCCTGCAATGCTCTTACTGACTTGATTTCAGCATCCTGTTGCATGAAACTTTATAACAATATATTTCCATCAACAAAATTACATTCACTTGTTTAATGTATGTTTTGACTAGTCATCATCTGGCCTGTATTCATAAGATATACATTTACTACATAATACATGCTTAGACTGGACAATCCTAAAATGGATCCACTGTGTACTTCCCTTGCTATTATGTAACAATCTACACAAACTTACTTTTATCTATTAAAAATATATTAAAAATTTTTGCCGTCAATCACAAATATAATAATGTTAAAAGATTAAAACATCATTTAACGTTCCCCATCGAGTACTCGATTACAATAGGAACTTACACGACTAGTTTCGGCTATAATTTAGCCATCAACGGGTGTTATGTAATTTAAACTTATCACTTAATTACTGATTTTTATTGTTTTTTATGATTTATAGTCTTCATTTTCTGATGATGTTCTTGTCCATTTATATTGTTTCTTTGTTCGTTGTATTATCACAGGTCACTATTAGGTTTGTATTTCGTATTTTGTAGTGACGTCAATATTTTGTGTAGGACTGTGAAGTAAAGTTTCAATTTTATCAATGACAATTGAAAATAGAATATAGAAAACAAAATAAATAGTAAAAATAAATCATGTGAACTTACCCAAGAAGTAATATCGTAATCGTATATAAGAGAACGGAGATGTACTGGACTGTATTGGAGCGTGGCTGGTTACCGACTGCGGTGCTAGTGGGTGAAAGGTGGTTTGTTTTAACATTCTTTTAACATTATTATATTTGTGATTGACGGCAAAAAATTTTAATATATTTTTAATACTTATGAATCACAATATGACGCATTTACAATATCTTACTTTTATCTATTACTACTTATGTTTAATACTACTAGAACTGTTACATCTCATCCCAAACATATTAACACACATAATATGCAGGATGTACATGAATGAATACATTAACCCTTCAAAACCCAGTGGTAATTGTATGTACTGCCTACATTAATAATCATTAACTGCATTCTAACCTGTTTATGAGTTCCATATAATTCTCAGAGTATGCAGCAATTATTTCTTTAAACAGTGTTAACCAATTAATCTTTGTAATGGAATTTTTTTTTCTCTTTGCGGTACAGACTGAATTCTTAAATATTATTTAGACAAGCTTCTAAGAGTTAATAATGCAAACAGTTTCCAAAGATTACATTTTCCAACCTCTGCAGTGTTTTACGTGACTGTAATACTCATAATTCTAATAAAAGTGTAAACTATTTAAATGAGATTCCCAGATGTAGTTTAGAGAGTATAAACAGTACCAAAGTGGGAAAGAAGACAAAATATCGACATTAGTTGCTTTTAACATCTGTGCTTTTAATTTTTATCAATATTTTACTTCTGATTATTATTAACCTTAGGTACAGGTACACTGTTCTAATACTGTTAATTATAAATAATAATACATACAAGGATGTTTATATTAAAGAAATACATGATAGTAAGGAAAATACACAACAAATCCATTTTAGGACTGTGCCAGTCTATGTATGATATCAGTCATGTAGTGAATGTCAGGTGAACCACAGAAAGGCCCAATCACGAAAACTGGTGGTATATGACATTGGACCAGATACATCCAAGTTAAAAGCCTAGATGGTAATAATACACAACAAACCAAATACAAATTAGTCACCATACGAGATATATGACAGCAGATGATGTAACATGCATACACAGTGATTGTATATACAGATTCATGTGTAGCTGTTCTATGTAGTACCTTGTGGAGCATGATGGCAATGAACACAATCATCTCAACTCCAGCTTGATCTGTAGTTGCTGCCGCTCCGAGCGCAACTCCATCAGCTGTACACAGGAGAAGAGATGATCTCAATCTGTGTTTTTTTTATCACTATGTTTTCAAACTGTTACCTTTTCTTTTTTATACTTCCAAACTCATTTTGATAATTAATGCATCAGACCTGACTACAGAGTTTTGTGAATGATAGAGCAGGAACTAATCTTTCTGAAAATTGACTTCAGTTACATTTCAAAATAAATTGTGGGGGGGGGGGGCAACTTTTTTTAAGTTAATGCCACTGATCCAATGTCAGTTATTTGAAACAAGTATCTGAATAAATGTGAATAACCAAAGATCATGTTACAAAATGCATACATATGCTGAAAATAAAAAGCATTTCACGCATTGGCATCATTCAGCAAGTCTGGCAGCCATTTTCTCAAAATTTGCTCAAGAAATTAAAGAAATTTATAACACATAGTTCTTAAAACGTATTTAGATATTAAATTATAATTATGGGCTTGAATGTCACCATAAAAACCAAATAAGAAAGATCATAACATTATATTTGTGCAGGGTGCAATAGTTCCATGCATATGGGCAGGTAGATACACGTATGACACATTTAATTTGCTATGAAAAAAGTATAGAAACTTATTTCATATTCCTTTCTTTCATCTCGTAAGAACAGGGGTAGACATTATTTTTACATTCTTACACTTGATACAAACAGCCATTCTCAATAAAAACAAAGCACCCAACAGCATTATGCAGCATATACCAGGATTACTTATTTAAATCCAGAGAAGTAGTAATGTTACATTAACCCTTTGTGGTCCCTTTTAAATACCACTAGGCACTCTGCTGGTCTATTTAAATACCACTAAGTTGTATAAATTCAACTACTGTTATGAACATGCAATTTTCTTTTATAACTTGCATAAAACTAAAGAAATTTTGCTAAATATGGTGAAAATATGTTCTGAAAGGATGACAGTTCCTTTTGTTTGAATACTGACCGTGTGAAATATTTTTCACTCACTGTACCACTGTCGCTACTGAGATGTGTAATAAGTGGTGCCTTTCTGCTTGCTGTCGTTCGATAGAGAATAAAGCAAGTCCAACTCGATAGATATGACTTTGGCGACGTCTAAACATCTCTTATTGCATGCAGATATATGATGTATAAGCATTGGCTTTCATAATCTAAGAGCTATGCTTCCTTTCGCGCTGATTGTGTTCGAAAGATCAAGACCAAGTTCAACACCATAAAAGTGAAACAACACAAAGTGTAAATGATAAAGTCACTACACGAACAGAATGCTTGATAAGACAAATGAATATACACAAATACACATTTAAACAAACCTTGAAAATGGTAGTCTTTCAGATACTCACCACTGTGAGACCCTCTATCTTAAATAAACAAGCCTTGTCAATATCATTCATAAGAAAAAAATTGTTTTGAGTTATAGATGTGAAGCAAAGAAAATATCTTATTCATTTGTACAACTTCCCAGTTTTGGAAATATTTTATAGTTAATAGGCTTTCACAATAGCATACTTAGTGCAATATAGACAAAACGTATTTTTATCCCCACCTGCAGCATGGACCACAAGGCCAACTGTAGCTGTTATGTTCCTTTCTGCCGACTTTGGGCTGCCTTCGGCATCTGAAATTACAATTTCACAAGAAATTTAAGGCCTACTTCAACTCATGGATATACTAAAACTGAAACTGACAACAAACTTCCATAGAACATAAATGCAAATCTGGGATCTCTATATGCCTTCATGTAAACATGACAGTTCAGTAAATGAATATCATGCTATATTGTTGTTTCAATACCTAATCTAACAGTTTTCACTGTTTGTTAATTTTGTTCCACAGGCAACTATGAGGCATATTAAGACATAAACACAAAATTTTCCAAATCATGACAATGACAAGTTTCATAATTTTCACTTTTTACAGAATATTATTAGGGTGATTAAATGAAGCATGAATTAGATATAAGTTCCGTAACAATGAATTACAAGAGGATTATCAATAAGGAATTACAAGCAAGAAGCATTCATGACCCCCACTTTTTTTTGATACCTTCATGGAAACAGAATTTGTCTGGAAGAATTAGGTAAAATCACATACAACCAGTATGTTAATTCGTCACCAGTACAAGATTTGAACCTATAACCTCTCATATCAGTAGTACGAGTATTAAATGTTACTCCAGTACAAGATTTGTATCAGTAGTACGAGTATTAAATGTTACAATGCAACTGGTATGAAGAATATGAAATTAGTGGTCCCAGAGTCAGCAGATGCTCTCAAAATCAAACTCATCGATTTCTCAATATACTCATGTATTTACTTGTCTTAACTTACCTCTACTTCTGGAAACAGAGCACTGGTCAACCAATAACATAAATACAAATCCAAGAACCAAGGATATTCCTATAAGTGAGTGAACGTCTGTGGAAGACGTATCCTCATGATGTTCAATTATGACACCATCTTTCTTTGTGGAAGGAATTGCTGCAACAGGTAGTAAATATTACATCTCACATGCCACACACTTTATGACCTCAAAACAATGTTTAATTTATCTCAACAGATCAGCGTTATTATAAACACATTCTTACTCTGAACAGTGACTGCGGTATTCAATGATCGAACCCCTTCCGGAATGATAACAGCTAAAGCAGTTCCCACTAGTAAACCAGCTCCAAGAACAGAAATTAACTGCAGCTTTTCCTAGAGAACATTAAAATCCATTAGATGCCGAAGTAACACGTACCAAGAAAATGTCTCGACCATACACAAAAAACTAAAGGCATTGTCCTATTATTTTACCTCTGACATGGGCATAACCAACGGTATAGCCCCAGCCAAATAACTTCCCACTAACATCACCAATACTAAAAGAATCAAAACAAGCGTCCCTTCCATGATATAAGAAAAATACAGCTAACACTTTCAACGACAACGAAACTGTCGTCTACTATTCCTACGTCAACATTGCCATGGTATAAACTCGGAATATGGTACGAGCACAGGTGTTTCGTTTACGAATCCACATACGAGCCAGCCACATTCATGAAATTGAAATTCCTTTGCTTTTAGCTGAAATATACCGTTGTCGTTACAGAGTGGGCCATGTCGCGTTCGTTCAAACTAATCCTGTGTGACGGGTGCCGTAATTAGTAGAGAATGGCCAGACCCGTCGTTTGACCTCAGATACACAGTGAAGTGCCGGTTGTAACTTATGGCCGGCAAATTATGTGACAACACTTCTCAGAGAAACACAGAATGCAACAGAGACACACTTGAAGCGATCTCAAAGAATCTCGAGAACCACATTACCGCGCACTGAGGATGTACTTGTAAAAGAAAATTTCCCGATCGTGAAACTAAAATATTAACTACTGCGAGCTATTTACAACGCCATAAAAAGAATTTGCGATTAGGAATCTGTAGGTAGGCTGTGGAAGTGAAGCAAGCAATACCTAACATACACTGGGCAAACGCAAAGTATGACCTGATGCACAATATATGGCTTGAAAAAAAAAGCCTGTTGAAATCTTTTCGCGTCCAAAAAGGGGGGCATTCATATTTGTGGTCTTTGTTGATGCATAGTTCTTTTCATAGAATACAGTATTAAATATGTTTTATTTAAATTTAAGTTATTCTCAATATGTGTGCCAAGAAATTTAATTGTTTCTGCTTTTTCAGTTACTTTGTCCTCATATCTTATACCTAAATTAACACAATTGTTGTTGGTTGCAAAACATTTCATAAAATTTGTTTTGTCAAAATTTAATGCAAGTTAATTAGCGTGAATCTATGTGTTCAAGCTAACAAAGACATTATTAATGCAAATTTTGAAACAGCCATTTTCTGGATATGAATAATAATGTCGTCCGCAAAAAGGATCACAGAAATTATTTCTTTGACTAGTAACGTGGATATCTATGAATTAATTATCTGTGATAGATTTCGCGTCGGTCCGGATACGGATGTGCTATTTACTAATTTTGGGGGATTTGCGCTGGAAGTTCTGTTTGCTAAAAAGACATTTTTGAGCGATTAATGTGTAACCTGTGAGGTTACTGTGGTTCAGTCGTTTGAATTTCAAAGTTACAGTGTTTAAAAATGGTAATGGACGAAGTTGTATTTGCATAACATTGCGGTTACTGTATTTTGTTCCTTGGCCGCCAAGCTTTCAACTTTCAAGTTGCTTGCTATCTAGCTCGTGTAATATGTTTTGTCCTGTAAAAATGTAATGTGCCCTATTATCATTTTGTTTCAGTCACACACTATACTTCTTATTCAGCCGGGATCGAAACCAGAGACAAGAACATTTTCAGACTACGAGTCTGTAAATGAATGTATGGAAGGTGAGTAATCGTGGAGGGCTAAGCTTAATATCTGTTTGTGTATGTTGTAAGTAAAATGTAAGTAAACATTTTGAGATTATAAAATTGGAAGTAACCATCCCCGAATGTAGATTAATAAAGACGTATCAACTACTTAGGTATTTGTATCTGAAGTCAGTCATTGGCAGAAGTTATAAATAAACAATCTTATATTTTTTTTGTAATGAATGATAAAACATTTAAGGTTAGATAAGTCGGTTTACTTTTATACATTAAAAGACTAACAGAACTACTTGAAAACCTGAATAAACATTTATTAATAAGCCTACATTAGGTAACACTAGCTTCTTTTTTTTTGTAGTTTTTATCTGACATGTCACAGCAGTTACTGGAAAGTAAGAGGTGTGTTATATGAAAATCCCTCTTTGCATATAAGTAGGACAAAAGCCTGTTAAAATTTAGCAGATATAATTTATTTTGTATCTTAATTTCTCTCCTGTTATCATTTATTACTTTCATACCTTTATTGCTTTCTTGCATATTTGTTTCCCATTCCTTCTGTGTATCAGTAAGTATTTAAAGATATGACACAGGTAAACTTAATTATTAAATAATATTATATCTGTAATATAAATCCAGAACTGTTTGTGTAGAACATGTCACTCAAAACATGCTATTACAGATATGTAAGATATTATGAGAGGTTACAAGTTGATTTTGTGCATTGTTAATGTACATTATATTTTGTTTATAGTACGTAAAATGGCCCATAATTGTACTCTATGGTACGTATGAAAATGGGCAAATTTAGAATAACTGTGCTATACTTGTCAAGTACAGTGTTTTTAATTGCCATTAAATAAGCTGCACAGTGATGTCTGGTATTATTAGGAATTTTTCAAAGTTAAATGATATCTTAAGTGGAAATTATTTATCATTTTACCTGTTTTACGTAATGCCCAAACTCCATGTTCTTATGTGTCCGGTGAACTATAATGGTATAAAATTTGCAAAACACCACAAGACAAGAAGATTTCCGTCTTCTGGGTTGTTGCACTGTGTAGTCCGGTCGATGTTAACCAACGTTTCAGAGGTCATACTGCCTCCGTCATCGCCCTGATGACGGAGGCAGTATGACCTCTGAAACGTTGGTTAACATCGACCAGACTACACAGTGCAACAACCCAGAAGACGGAAATCTTCTTGTCTTGTGGTGTTTTGCAAATTTTATACCATTATAGTAAACTGCAAACAGTGCTGTTGGAAATTTTGTTTAATAGTCCTATTAAGTATCAAATAGTGTATTACATCAGATAGTTGAAAAGAAGGCACAAAACAAATTGCATTATGTGGCTAGGTCCCAGCCGCAACTCAAAATCAGCACATGTACAAGACAAACTAACATATAATGTATTTTCTCATAAACTAAAAGATGGACTGAGATATGGTTTTTGAAAACATGACATAAGAACCTTTAGCTACATTTCATAAGCAGCATATACAGGATGCATAGAATGTAAATTTATAGCAAAGTATATTTTTACCTGTGTGGTGAAGAAGAATGTGAAATACAGAGGAAAATTTTTTATTTAATGAAATGAAATGGCATTTAAATTATAAAGATATTGTTATATTAATATATAAGTGCAAAATGCAGTAATGAAACTATATCACTGATTCTGTTACAAATGAAAATATTACAGCAGGTTGAAGTGAGAGGTCCCACAAAACGTTTAGTTTGCCTGGCATCCTATGTTCATGTTGTAAAGTAAAGTAAAGTTTGTCCCACTATACGCCATGTAGGCGTTTGGGGTGAGTGAAGGTATAGCTCCTCTCTTCCTTCACGCACTAGATGGGGGTGAGGGGTCAGCATCACGTCCCGGCCGGCTTTACCCCCGGGAAAGGACCCCGGTACCCATTGTAGAGGAGGCTGGGTGGGCCCCAGAGCCGGTCTGGACGCAGAGGCTAGAGGAAAAATCCTCTGTCCCCGTCGGGGATCAAACCCCGGTCGTCCAGCCCGTAGCTAGTCACTATACTGACTGAGCTATCCCGGCTCATATGTTCATGTTGTAACATTGTATAATTTTTCCATGATGAAGCTTTTTTGTGAGTGGGGTTATACTGGTGGAGAACTTATAGCAGTAAATAATCATATTAATTCATTCATACATGTCTCACTCACTTGTTCTGGCATTGCACATATTTCATAGTCATTTGTCATGCTCTCACACCAGTTCTTGTAGGTGATTAATGACTCTGGGACAGTTTTTCTTTTTAAATGAAACAGGCACATAAAATAACTTGAACTTTGTGCAGATATTGTAGGAATAAAGTGAGTATTGAACAAAAATGTACCTGCAGTTCATCACCCTGCTAGTATATAAATGTATCCAAATTATGATAAGTCAGTGACCTTGAACTTCGCACCATAAGTTCCATCAGTTATTTTGTTGGACAGCCAGTGCTTATCTGATTTGTCGGTACTTGTTGCGTGTCAGTAGTACTTGTAGAAATAAAGTTATATTAATGGAAATCTTTATATTTACCAGTGACCTCTGACTCATTAATGGTAAAAGGAACAACTCACCTGTTTTGTATAAAGAGTTCATTAATGTTGAACTAGGACATGGAAAGAATCACCAGAATGAAAAAATGAAGTAGCTACAGCCTATTAGTGATTTTGTATGAAATTACTCTGCTTTTATGATATTTTTCTTTACAGGTGTGTGCAAGATTTACGAAGAACATTTGAAACGACAGAACCCAAACACACCATCGATCACCTATGATATCAGCCAGCTGTTTGACTTTGTTGACCAGCTTGCAGACCTTTCCTGTCTTGTGTATGTTCATTTTTACTTCAATTAGTACATAAAGTTGTCGGGGACTTAGAACCTATTTAGTCATGTGTTTGTGTTAACAGTGAGCTTGAATGATGTGAAGACAGTTTTTGTAAATTTTATTTCCATGGGTAGCTCTCGTATGATACTATTTCACTTGACCAAGCAGGTTGGCACAGTAGTAATTAATCTGTCACATTTGGGAGGTATGTTCCTTGAATTTCAGAGATATCTTAGTAGGTTTTCCTGTCATTCCAGGCAACTGCCTTGGCAGTAATTTGACCATGAATATGTCTCTTAATTTATAATTTTCCCGCATCTTATTTGATGATATATTACTGAAATATTTAATATAATTTTGCAGAATAAATTAGCAATTTCAGTTTATTCCTATGTTGTGACCACAGACAATCTGAAACAGCATCCATATAAAAAAATGATAGAGCAGTCCCGCTATATGCCATGTAGGTCACTTGGGGGTAGAGGAGGTATAGC